ATAAAACTTTGTTGTTTCATCTAAATTATTTTCATGAATCTTCTTTTAACCGGTAAACTTTACAATATTTTAAAATCAGCAGCTATGTTTTTTTGTTTTCTACTTTCGTTTTTAAAAAACGATCAATATGGATTAATTCCGATTTTGTTGTTAGTTTATCATATTACTGTATTCAATTTTTGTTTTTAATAAAATGATATTTAATTATACCCTAAATCTATGTGTTTCACTATATGCATACCCCTTCTGACTGAAAAGTTTAATCCTCTAACTGCTCCAGGCTATGTTACCTGTACCTGGACAGCTGTGTGCGTTCAAGCGAGAAGTGATTTCCTGTGGCTAATTAACACCTCTGCATGCGTTAAATAAACAAAGAGACTAATCTGTGTGCATTGAATAAACAAGTCTGATATTCTAATCCCGATTGACAAAATACTGCGGTAGGGAAACTCAGAAAATCGGAAATTTTAGGTTGAATTTTTTCAAATCGGGATTTTTGGGCAATTTTGCTTTCCCGATCGGGAGAGCGGGATCAAAGGGTAAAATCGGGAGGATCCCGCCTAAATCGGGAAAGTTGGCATGTATGAAATAGAATGGACACAAAACTCGTGGCTTGCGACGATGAAACAAGATATAATAACATATTTTGGTGACATTTGGTAGGTACATGTATATGATATTTTAGGCCCGATATCCAAGAGGGGTCCAGTGTTAACAAATGGAAGTGACTTACCTTCTCTATTTCATAATACCGCGGGTATGATTTTTTAATAAAACGTTAATTCTACGTTATTTTTATGGATTTTTCATATGGAATACATTGTAAATGTGTACTAGAAGATTAATTTATGGAAAAAGACGAATAAAAATATTCTTGGACCCCGGGGTGTATATTGGGGGTGGGGGGGGGGGTCCTGTCCAAAAGCACCTGTGCAGCATTCAAGCTTAAAAGACCATTCAAACAATACAAATCAGGAACAGTGCAAATCTTTTGAAATCAGAGGTAGAATCAAGTGCCATGGATCTGTCATGTTGTAAATTTTGAACTTACCGGTTGTCAGTATTTACTGCCACCCGGTAAATTCAAAATTTATAGCATGAGAGATCCTTTTCACGCTAGCACTTACCCCGACACGAGACCTTATACGGTCTCATCCAAAGGACCGATCTCCACGTTTTACTACTTATCCAAACTGGGCATAAAACATTCTCAATGAATTTTTTAATCATTATGTTGAACCTAACAAATTATTCCGACTCGCTGTATGATCTGGAAAAACATGGCTGAACTTATCCATTCAGAAACTCACAGACTGGGATTGCTTTTAACCAGTGTGTGTTATGGCCTTGATGCAAGGTCATTTGGTCGAGTCAAGGTCACTGACAGAGAAACTGTAATTTCGCTACCGTATTTGTACTAGTGAAACATTGCTGGTATCATGCAGAGTGTGACATGGCCTTGACTCAAGTTCAAGGTCACTAAGGATAAGATGTTTTGACTGTATGTATGGACTAAAAGAACATGACGTGTCACTGTGAACTTTTCAAGTCGGTAACACGCAGATTGGGTTTTATGACGAGAGTGTGTCATGGTTTGACGCAAGGCATTTGGAATGTTCAAGGTCACGTACATTCCTTTACAGTTTTTCCTAGCGAAATATTGTAAGTTGCTTCCCCTTACAAGATTGCTTACATGTATAACTTTAGAATGTGGCATGACCTTGACTCAAGGTCACTTCTTCCTTCCGCAGCTCCAACGGAAGACCTATTCGTTGCTTTGCAACGAGCTCGCTCTAGTTCTGCGTTATTTTTTGGATTTTTCTTATGGAATACATTGTAAATGTGTACTAGAAGAATAATTTATGAAAAAAAATACATAAAAATATTTTTTGACCTGTGGGGCATATTTGGGGGGGGGGGGGTCCTGTCCACAAGTACCTGTGTCTTAATGCAAGTTTATCATGACTTCCCACAAGCACTTGGTTTACCTCCCAGTATTGTATAAAATATTACTCGCTAAGTAAAGAAATCGTTTCACACCATTATATGCTACATGTATGTACGGGTCTTGGGAAAAATATTTTCTGTATTTTGATTGGCTAAAATCAATGTTACTTTAAAAATTACATCTAATAAGCAAATTCAAAGAATTGTGGTCCCCTGCTTTCAGTGTCTTAATGGATGGGATGCCATTAATTATGGCATATTGTGTCAGATATGAACGCCATATCATATGTCATTCAAAAGTAATCACAAAGTTAAAATTTTTGAAAATTAGGTCAAGCACGAAGGTCAAGGTCAATGGGTCAAAAATCATAGCATGCTCTGAAACATCTTGACTCAGGTAATGTACATGTCAAATATGAAAGCCCTATCTCTTCTCAATCAAAAGTTATAAGGAAAGATAACATTTTTGAAAAGTAGGTCAAACTTAAAGGTCAAGGTCACGATGTCAAAAATCATAGTTTATTTAGAAATTTCATGTTACAATTAATATATATATATATATATATTTAATATGAGAGCCCTATCTTTTCGCTTTCAAAAGTTATGGCCAATTTAAAGTAATGTTAAAATTTTTGAAAAGTAGGTCAAACTTCAAGGTCAAGGGGCCAAAAACCATAGTATATTTGGAAAGATCTTGTCACAGGTAATGTACATATGAAATATGCATGAAAGCCGAATCTCTTCTCATTCAAAAGTTACGACCAAGGTTAACGTTTTTGTGACAGACTGACAGACGAATGAGATTTAATGTCCCCGCTTTTTCACGAAAGCGTGGGACAAAAATAGTGTATGTTATTTTTAGCAATGAAATTGTTATTACACTATATATAATAATTCGAATACTTCAACTTTTCAACACGTTAATTTTAAGATTTTGCCCGAGCCAGGGACATAGCATATCGCTATGCATTTGAAGCAATATTTTTCCACTCTAGGAGTAATTTTTTGATGCGGCTTACGCAGAAAAAAGAGAGATGAATAAATTAAGTCAGTCCTGCTATATAATACAGTTTTCAAGATAAACTATTGTAGAAGAAAGTAACAGAGACCCTTTTTCACTGCGTTTTTCTGAAAGCGAAAATGACTGCAATTCTCGGGAGGGGTTCCGCCATGTAACTTGGGAGTTTGATACCTTGTGTTATCATTATAATTCTATGGGCTAATTTTTTATTACAATATGAATTTCAAGAAGTCGAAGAAGTCCTCTGTCACCAATGCATATTTGCCTTAAATTAAGAGTAAAGTACCAATTGTCAGAAAAAAAATGCTTTCTTTAAAAAATACTGATAAAGAAAATACAGAAATCAACAAAAAGCAAGCACACTTCAAAGAAAGAGGGAGGTGTTTACCCATGTCAGCAAAAAAATGTATCAGTGTATGCGGAGAGTGGACTGTGTGAGCAATGTGCTACTGTGAAAAACTAAATGATATATATAATGTGATAATAAATATTAATACACGTTGCCTTTTTTTTATCTGTATGTCTTATCTTTGTTATCTTCATATGCATAGTTAACGTTGACTAATAGAAGTAAGGCGACCATAATTTGATTTTTAGTTTTACGGATCCACCGACTCTAAAAATTTGAAGAAAAAAAAATCCGGAATTTTTCAAGCCTTTCGTGTCAAACCCGTATTTTATAATAGAAAATCATTCAGATACATAAAAACTCGTTTGCAGAATGGTGGACATTGTTGAATTGGTGTCATTGTTTGCACTTTCAAACAGTTCAGGAATTTATCAGTACCTTTTCAGGGGCCGAAATTCGTCCCCATTCCCAATTGAAAATGAGTTCAGTTTTTTTCCAATTTGGCAGTGTTTTTCCCAATAGGTGAACAATGCTTTTTTAAAAATTAATTATCTTGGAAAAACACAAAGTAAAATTGTCAGATTGTCTGTAATTTCCATCTATTTAACTCATTTAGCAAAGCTAAATTCATAACACATGTTTAAAAATACTGTAAAAACTTCGCCAACTTTTAATCCGAATTTCCTCCGTTTTTCTGAAAATGGTGATATCGTGTAATTATATATAGATTTATTAAGTTATTTCCACTTATTCAATTGATCTACGAATGAATGGTAAGGACTGTAGGCATTATTTCAGATAGAAAAATGTATTTTCAATGCATTAATTCATACATAATAATATATTAAAAGACGACTTTTAGAAAATGTGTACTAGGTATAATTTTTTGCAGGAGGTTTATAATCTCCAGAAACAGATTCTATAATGACCTAAATTGGAATCTCATACACACATGTACTACCCTAAGTTGTATAAATACTTTATACTCAGTCATTGAAGTCAATTTTACCTTTATTAGTCTATTATTCATAATTGATTTTGAATGATAAAGTTGGATCATATTTAATTGTCTGTTTGGTTGCCCAAATTAGAGTTCATGCTGAAATGTTAAATGAAATACACCTGAGTATATGATATAAGCAACATTTTAATTTTTTCCCAATTCCCCAAAAATGGTGTTTCCAAAAATAGGCTGATAAATCCCTGATTAACAATTCATCAAATGAAAAACAACAGACTGTGTTGGAAAATAGTGTCACCAAAAAAAAAAAAAAAAAAAAAAAAAAAAAAAAAAGTCGCATAACATGACAGTTATATAAAATGCCGTGTAACTTCACAATATTATGTATCAATGAATAATAAACTGTGAGTTTTGTCTTTTTTTTTCGTCCTCTGACTTGACCTTTCTTGAAAAAAAATCCGTAAAACTAAAAATCAAATTATGGTCGCCTAACGAGACAAGATAAGGACGGGTCCCACTTCCGAAGAGTTACAAGTACAAAGATAAAGCACAGAACTGAAAATGTGGAAACTTTATATTAATACATTATACCAAGTCACAAACAGATCGGACGAGGTAGAGTAACTTCATTTTAATTGATATACATGCAGTTAAATGCATTGCTCTTTTTTAATGCATAGACACGGATTAAAAAGTGGAATACTGTTTCATCTTTTTTTCGGATCTTCAGCAACATTATAATGGAAAACGTAACAGACATACAAAAATTTGAGAATGATTCTGTATTCAGCAATGCAACAGGGATGATAAGTCCACCTGGTCCGTCAACTCTTAAAACAGTTTTTGACATTGTCATTAAAATCACATTAATCCTCATAATGTTTGGGATGGGAAGTGTCACCGAAATAGAACCACTTTTGAAACACATCAAGCGACCAGTCGGAATACTTATTGGGATGTTGTCACAGTTTGCGGTCTTGCCATTGGTTACTTTTGGATTGGCACATGCGCTGATGCTGCCAAATGTTCCCGCACTAGGAATGCTCGTAATGGGTTGTTGTCCTAGCGGCTCTACATCAAACGTGTTCACGTACTGGGTAGATGGTGATGTCCCCCTTAGGTAACACTTTGAAATACGAGAGCAAATTAATTGATATGTGTTTTTCAATCATTCATCCTGAATTCCTGAAATTAGATGATGGATATTTACCACAGGTGGCAAGAGATATCGAAGATAATCAATGCTATATCTAATATACATGTCAAATTATTAAAATCACTCCGAAGTGTTTGTCCTGTATTTAATTATAGAATTTTTCTTGACTTTTATAATCCTGTGAAGTATCTCAATGACCACTGTATCCACTACTCTTGTGTTTGTCCTGTATTTAATTATAGAATTTTTATTGACTTTTATAACCCCGTGAAGTATCTCAATGACCACTGTATCCACTACTCTTGCATTTGGCCTGATGCCACTCAATCTGTTGATCTACAGTGGAAGCTGGACAGATGACGACCTCGTTATACCGTATATAAACATACTCATCTCATTTGCTATGACCATCACACCAGTCATTCTAGGCATTTTACTGCGCTGGAAATTTCCAAAAATTGCCCTTGTCGTTGTTAAGGTAACAGATATTTGAATGATCGAGATATGTTATTAATTTGTCTAAGTTATATATATATATATATATTTTAAAGGCAAATTTGTTGTCTAATTTTGCTAAAGATATGCTCATATCATGTAAATATGTTTCATTACTTTTTTTGAAATATCGATTCTAAGGATTGAAGTAAATGTTGTATAAATAATTAAATATAGTGTGTCATTGTTTTCAAAGCGTTTTGCAATTACAAGAACATGTGTTGATGAGCAAACCATTGATAAAAATTAAAAGAATTTAATAGCCTAGAGATAAGATAAAACCACTTGTAATTAGAAAATTCGTATGCATTGAAAATCTTTCAAAGATTTAAGTTAATAGTTTTATAGAAACATTGTTAATGTACAAGAATGTATTGAGTGACACTGTTTATATTATTTTCCCTCCAGATAGGCAGTATAGCCGGTGCTTTTTCTGTAGTCCTTACTCTGACACTGCTGAGTTTACTCTACCCCTTCATGTATAGCGCCTCCTGGAAAATATACCTCGGGGCAATTCTTTTGCCCTTTGCTGGTTTTCTGTTTGGTTATATAGTGGCATCAATATTTCGGATGGAGCACTTCCGGCGGAGAACGATGGCACTGGAGACAGGAATTCAAAACTTCCCCCTGTGTATGACTTTGTTGTCGCTATCGTTCTCTCGGGACAGGTTCGCTGAGATTTCCCTGTTTCCGTTGCTATATGGGGTGACTTGTATCCTGGCCAGTGTGGTGTTCGCCGGGATATTCCGAGTTGTGAAACTCTTTTCCTCGAGATCCAGTGAACGAAAGGAAAATGGTGTTAAGGAAAATTTACAAGAAACGATTGACACAAAGAAAAGGTTTTTGGATGACATAGATTTTGATGAAGCTTAATTTTGAAATTATAGTATTGTAGGTACGGAAGTGCATTAGTGCCATGTATTTTTTTTTTAGTTTGGTACATGTAATTCCAGCTTTAATCTTGGCTTTTCCTAATTTAATCTTGGATTTTCCTACTTTAATTTAAGCTTTACTAAATTTTTCCTTAGTTTATTTTGTCTATTATTCTTGACTTTGGTCATCCCATTTGACCTTACATAAAAGAACCTTATTTCTCTTGGTCCATCTTCTATTATTTTATAGAGGATAACTTATTCAACTCCGCGATGACAGCATTTCAACCATAGCTATTTAAGAAATCAGACATATATCAATTTGTTGAGAATGAGTTTAAACAAATAAATCCATATTTAGGTGTTCGATATATAGGATAAATCAACACTATTTTTCATGCTACAGACAACTGTGTACTAGATGCATCAATTCTGTATATGAAAACACAATGAAAATTATTCCTTCTTTCATCCTACTCTCATAAATAAATAGTTTCTTTCCATCGTAATTATAAAACGGCAACACGAGTCCAGCTACAGAGTCTACGAATAAAACACATGAAGTCGTAAAAAAAAAGTTGGAAAAAGCCAAGATTAAAATTGGAAACGCTAACTTTAAAGTTGAATTACCAACTTAAAGTTGGAAAAGCTAACTTTAAAGTTGGAGTTACCTTCTTTAAAAAAAATATATTACGTGGCACTAATACGCTTATATATGCAGTTAAAAAAATCACTTTATTTGTTCGCCTGTCCATTTCGTCTTTTTCTTTTGAAATCTCTTTTTGTTATTTTAAATCACAAATGCAGTTCACTTGAATAAATTTCAGTGAGAAAACAGATTGCCGTATTTACTTGACTTCCTATGTCAGTACAACGGAGTAATACCCATAATAAAAACGTCAGGTGTTTTATTTAAGGAAGTACACAATTTTTTTTATTTACTGAAAATATATCGGTCTAATAAATAGATTACCTGACTTCTGTGTTTCGAGTAAGTTTTAATCGTAGTAGGAAATATAGTTCCGTTTCAGAGGTGAAGAAAATGTTGACCATTATACAATTATTGCCATTTCTTAAGGTCAGTATGATGATTTAGACACCTGAGGGGTACAGTATTCACCGAGCCCGAAAGGCGAGGTGAATGTTGTACTTCGAAGGTGGCTATATCATCTATTGCTCGAGAAAGATGTGTTTGTGAAACACTGATGCCCCCGTATGGCAACTTACAGCGAAGGTAAAACTTTCTCAAATGCAAATCAAATATGTTGGTACCCAAAGTAAGTTGTTGTCCCGAGTAATATACCTGTGAAATATCAAAGCCCTAGCAGCAACCATTGAAAAGATATGGAAAAGGTTAAAAATTTTCAAAGTTAAGTCAAACATCGAGGTCAAGGTCAAATGGCCCAAAATTAATGGTGCCCAAGGAAAGGCCTTCTCACAAGAAATACATATGAAATATGAAAGCCCTAGCATCAACCGTTCAAAAAAATATGGCCAAGTTTAAAGTTTATCAAAAGTAGGTCAAACTCAAAGGTCAAGGTCAAAGTTGTTGGTATCTAAAGTAAGGTCTTGTCACAAAGATTACATATGTGAAGTATGAAATCCGTAGCACGAACTGTTCAGAAGTTATGGCCAAGGTTAAAGTTTTCCAAAAGTTGGTCAAACTCCAAGGTCAAAGGGTCAAAGTTGTTGGTATCCAAAGGAAGGTATTGTCATAAGAAAATACATATGTGAAGTATGAAAAGCCCTAGCTCCAACCGTTCAAAAGTTATGGCCAAGGTTAAAGTTTTTCAAATGTAGGTCAAAATCCTAGGTCAAGGTCAAAGGGTCAAAGTTGTTGTTATCCAAAGGAAGGACTTGTCACAAAGATTACACATGTGAAGTATGAAAGCCGTAGCACCAACTGTTCAAAAGTTATGCCAAAGGTTAAAGTTGGGTAAAATTTTGTAAAACTGGGTTAAACTCCAAGGTTAAAGGGTCAAATATGATGGTACCCAAAGAAAGGTCTTGTCACAAGAAATATACATGTGAAATATGAAAGCCATAGCTCCAACCAATCAAAAGTTATGGGCAATATCTATCATGAATATTTACACTCAATCTCGTATTATTGTTTTTCAAGCTCAGGTACGCCATATATAGCTTTAAAAGAGGAAAAAATCAAAGGAAGTTTTTGTTTTAAAAACATGTACATGTATCAGAAAGTTTTGTTTTTTAAAGAGCTATGTCTAATTAAAACTTCAAAAAGCACAGGACTTGGTGGTATCTCTGACAGATTTTTGAAGGATGCTGTCCCCATTAGGAAAATACCTATTACATATTTAATCAACATGTCAATATCAGAAGAAACTGTGCCCGGTGATCTAAAAGTTGCTAAAGTTAAACCCCTATTTAAATTAAGGACGAATTGAAACCTGAAAATTATAGGTTTGTAAGTATTCTAAGTATTGTTTTAAAGATAATGAAGTAAGTAATTTACCAACAGTTAGAATCTTTCCTTATTGAAGAAAAATTGCTTTATGAATTTCAGCCTTGATTCAGAAGTTCTTTTTCTACAGACAGTTGTTTAATTCTCTAACTGATCACATCAAATCTTAAACAGCAAAAGATTTCTGTACTGAAATATGGTTCTTGTATAGATTTACAAAAAACCTTTGACACAGTAGACCACGACAAACTTTTTGTGTTAAGGACAGATGATACAAACAAAAATATGGATGTCTGGATTGGTATAAAATTTTTGACCTATTTTGGTTGTAAATGATGTGACTAATAAATTTCTAAAATATTAAGAATTTGTAAAACCTTCTATGATGTCCAAAATCCAACCTTTCTGCAACCATCCTTATTAATCTGTACAACTTTTTGTCACTTAAAATCATTATTGTGAAACCTTGAATGAAAAATTAAAATATGAGCGGTTAAACTTATTCATTTTACTCATATAAATATAACTTAGGTTGTTATTTTCAGGATTTTTGATAAAAGTTTGTTTGTATCATCTGTCCTTAAACTCCAAGTTATTGACGTTACATTAGGCCATTCCAAGTTTTTTCTTTATTTAGCGTCCACCCTAAATTCGAAAACCTATCTTTCTATCCGGAAAAAACACATAAACCAAGAGGGAAATAACAGAACAATTTAAGCACAATTCTAGAATTTCTTATCATCATTTGAGAATACTGAAATGATATTTGGTTTACAGATTTATCATAAGAATATCTAGGTCAAGTTGTTTTGGGTACGATTGAGCAAACCCTATAATGTATGTCCAAGGGGGGGGGGGGTTAAGTGTTTCACAAACATCTCTTGTTTTAATTGAGAATTAAATTCATTTGCATATGTATATGTATGATTGTAATTTTATGCCATTTTGTTTATAGTAAGTATGTCATATGTCAGTAATTTATATGTTACATGTAAAAGGCCCCATTGGGAATAAGCCAAACTGGCTTTCATGAGATCCGTGGGTTTAGGCATATACAGTATATATTCATTTGATTTATACACAACGTAAGATTTATTGCTAAATCTGTTTTAACACACCACAATGTTCATGTACATTGCCTATTCTTGAATAAAGATTATTTTAATTATTATATGATTGAATAATTCCTATCTCTCTTATTGGCTGAGTTCTAGCATTGTAGAAAAAAAAACACTACGTTATGTTCACCTGCACGTGACCTTCCAGGTGAACATAAGGATTAATTTTTTTCTACAAATTAAAACAAATAGTTTTGGAAAGTTATTTCAAATCAACCCGACTTCCACAAAGGTGAACTTAACATTCAGGCACACAGAATCTGAGGTAAGGGTGGCAAGGGGGGCCTGCCCCCTCTCTACTAATTTGTATCAATTTGGAATTTCCCGATCTATTTTAGTCCAATGTAGAAATAATAAATCTTAATGTTCAATACAAACTGAAAATTATACAACTGGAAAACGATAGAGTACAAATGGAAAATTATAGAATACAAATGGAAAACAAGAGGCCCATGGGCCACATCGCTCACCTGAGCACATTGGCTAGGCAAAAGCACAAATCAGTTCAGTATTGAAAAGATTACCGGGGGAGGGGGGGGGGGGCTTGAATTTTAAACTACCTGATGATGCTTCCATGTCAATATAACAAATGGCTTTGTTGTACGATTTTTAAAAAAAATTCCCATATATTCCTTTGTAAAAATTTGATCCCCCATTGTGGCTTCTCCCTATCCAAGGGGTCATCATTTGAAAAAACTTGAATCTACACTACCTGAGGATAATTCCATATAAATATGACTCATCATGGCTTTGCTGTTCTTGAGAGGAAGATTTTTAAAGGTTTTTCCTATATATTTCTATGTAAAACTTTGATCCTCCATTGTGGCCCCGCCCTACCCCCAGGGGTCATGATTTGAACAAACTTGAATCTACACTATCTGAGGATGCTTCCATATAAATATGACTCATCATGGATTTGCTGTTCTTGAGAAGAAGATTTTTAAAGGTTTTTCCTATATATTCCTATGTAAAACTTTGATCCTCCATTGTGGCCCCGCCCTACCCCCGGGGGTCATGATTTGAACAAACTTGAATCTACACTACCTGAGGATACTTCCATATAAATATGACTCACCATAGCTTTGGTGTTCTTGAGGAGAAGATTTTTTAAGGTTTTTCCTATATATTTCTATGTAAAACTTTGATCCTCCATTGTGGCCCCGCCCTACCCCTAGGGGTCATGATTTGAACAAACTTGAATCTACACTATCTGAAGATACTTCCACATAAATATGGCTCATCATGGCTTTGCTGTTCTTGAGAGGAAGATTTTTAAAGGTTTTTCCTATATATTTCTATGTAAAACTTTGATCCTCCATTGTGGCCCCGCCCTACCCCCAGGGGTCATGATTTGAACAAACTTGAATCTACACTACCTGAGGATGCTTCCATATAAATATGACTCATCATGGCTTTGCTGTTCTTCAGAAGAAGATTTTTAAAGGTTTTTCCTATATATTTCTATGTAAAACTTTGATCCTCCATTGTGGCCCCGCCCTACCCCCAGGGGTCATGATTTGAACAAACTTGAATCTACACTACCTGAAGATACTTCCATATAAATATGACTCATCATGGCTTTGCTGTTCTTCAGAAGAAGATTTTTAAAGGTTTTTCCTATATATTTCTATGTAAAACTTTGATCCTCCATTGTGGCCCCGCCCTACCCCCAGGGGTCATGATTTGAACAAACTTGAATCTACACTACCTGAGGATGCTTCCATATAAATATGACTCATCATGGCTTAGCTGTTCTTCAGAAGAAGATTTTTAAAGGTTTTTCCTATATATTTCGATGTAAAACTTTGATCCTCCAATGTAGCCCTGCCCTACCCCCGGGGGTCATGATTTGAACAAACTTGAATCTACACTACCTGAGGATGCTTCCACGTGAGTTTCATCTTTCCTGGCCCTGTGGTTCTTGAGAATAAGATTTTTAAAAGATGCTATTAATTTTTCACTAATTCTTTATTATCTCCATTTGAAAGAGGGCGTGGCCCTTCATTTGAACAAACTTGAATCCCCTTCACCCAACGATGCTGTGTGGCAAGTTTGGTTGAAATTGGCCCAGTGGTTCTGGAGAAGAAGTTGAAAATGTGAAAAGTTTACAGACAGACGGACGGACAGACGGACTACAGACAAAATGTGATCAGAAAAGCTCACTTGAGCTTTCTGCTCAGGTGAGCTAATTATACAATGCAAATGAAAAATTATACAAATAAAAAGTATACAATACAAATGGAAAATGAACGTTATAGAATACAAATGAAAAACGTCGAATACTGCAACATTTGAAATTCCATACACACGTGCCGCTTGCTTTATAGCTTCATTAAAGATGTTAATAAATCTTAGAGTGGTCAGCTATTTATTATGAATTAATGATAGTTCGTGTATATGCCTACAAAGGGAAAAAAAACCCTCCATAGATTGTATAAGACATCTGACAATCAAACCAAATATGGTTCCCAACCCTCAATTGAATAATCAATTCGAAATTATTAAAAAAATAATTATTTATCATTTTTATTAATACATGTTTCCAACAATCCTCCAAAAAGATATCAGGCTCACAGGCACCTGACATTACTTATTTTTCTTTTAATAAAAATATATATATATACCCGTACCTTATAACCATTCACGTCATTATTAGGTAGGGGATATATTTGTATGATCAAAAGAAAAATTAGTAACGCCAGGTGCCTGTGATCAGTCTGTCTTTACTGATATTGTGAGTCTACACGATCCATTGCATTGTGGAATACCGACCCTATGTTATTTCATAGTATTTAAATATAAGTTTGTTTGGTAACTGAATATCATACAGTTTCAAAGTACAGTATCATGAGCTCACAAAAATGTATAAATGCTAATTATCAAAACCCTGCCTCTCAAAATTCTTCAGTTTTTTTTTGGGGGGGGGGGGGGTTGGCAAAGTTGGTCAGAGGTCAAGGTCAGTGGATTGTAATGCTGTATTTTCCTAATGTTTCATGACAAACAATGCACATATATTGCTAAATAGCATATACTCACCTCTTAAATGTCAAAAATATGCTGTATACCAGCACTATGAACAATTTTTGAAAAGTAGGTCAAAGTCAAGAGGTCAGTAACCATGGTAACATACTAAAGCCATGAAACCAAGCAATATATGTGCAAAATATCAAATCCATACCTCTTACAGTTGTCGAGATATAAGGTGTGTACTGACGGACAGACAGACTGACAGATGCCGAGTAAAGTGATCCTTTAAAAGTCACTCTGCTCTGCAGGCGACGACACAAAAATATGGAAATTGTAAATTTTCATATGTGATTGTTAATCTACAATATAACTTAGTTAAAATCATTCCGATTCTACAAACAAGTACTCTGAGATTGATGATAAAAAAGATATGCTGGAGTTTCTCATTGTGATATATATGTTGTCTTTGGTGACCAGTTCTTTCAATAATCTGTTGAATTTCGATGGGCTCTAATTGAGCTCCTTTAATAGCAGATCTGTTTTTAAATTCTTATGAATAAGAATTTATTCAGAAACTTCTATATGTGAAGGAGAAAACTTTTGCTGTGGCCTTCAACTCAACAATTAGATATATTGACGATGTTTTATCAGTTAACAGTACGTACTAGAAATAAAAGACACTAAAGAGTCTACCACATTTGTTTCATATTTCTCTGTTTTACTGTCTATATAGACGATAATGGCCAATTTATAACTTAACTGTATGAAAATCAGATGACATCAGCTTTTCCATTGTCAACTTTTTTTGTTGATAAAGTAATATTTGAAAATAATAACATCAACCATATATGGTGTCTCCCAGCTGATTCGATACGCAAGAGCATGCTCTGAGTACTGTATAATCAATTTTTTAAACTGAGGCAGGCTGCTGACAAATACGTAGATGATACATGGATTTAAAGTAATTTAAGGTTAATTGTTAAATACTACGGCCTTTATAATGACCCTATTTTTCCTTCTCATGATTTTCTCCTTTTAGAAGCGGATCTTGTCCTTCAGTTAAACAAATCTGAATATCAATCCACTGAGGATACTTTATATTAAGTTTGGTTGAAAATGTCAGTGTTTCTTGAGAAGACGATGAAAATATGGAAAGTTTACGAATACATTTTCTAGTTTTAAATATCCTTAGATTCTTAGCCTTTTTTATTAAACAAATAACCACATTAAACAAACAAAAAAATTATTAACTAGAAATATGTCCATAGCACATGATTGCCCCGCCGAGGGTATATTAGTAAGGCAACATGAAAATTTGTATTAGTGTATGAAATTTGATGAGAATATCTTGAATAGTTTCTTTAAAATTGAAATCTAAAAAGTTTGATATAGATGATAAATTCTCACCAAATTATGTATAAGTGCATAAGCTTACATAATTATATCTTAAATGGTTTCTTTAAAATTAAGCAAAATGCAAATTTAAGAAAAGTGAAGTCAAGGTCCAAGAAAAGTTCAAGGTCAAACGTTTTTGATGCAGTTAAATAGTTCTCATAAATACGTATCAAGTTTGATAAAAATATTTTGAATGGTTTATTTAAAACTGAGCTAAACATTAATTTAAAATAAATGAAGTTAAGGTCAAAGGAAAGGTCAAGGTCAAAAATTGTTGATGCAGTTGAAAAGGTTACATCAGTATGTATTAGCATATGAAGTTTGATAAAAATATTATGAATGGTTTCTTTAAAACTGAGCTAAACACTAATTTAAGAAAAGTGAGGTCAAGGTCAAGGAAGAGGTCAAGGTAAAAAAAATATTGGGTGCACTTGTTTCAGACAACCGGGCGATGACCCGGTTTACTTTTATCACATGACATATTGACCCGGTTAGTGTCGCTGAAACGAGTGAAAATTCAACCGGAAAATGGCTGATACTGTTATCGGTGCTGTTGCTGTAATAAATAATTTTCTCTGAACACACGAGAACAACGATTTTGTGGATATATTTGCATTTTAATATTTACTAGATCCATTCAATGCACAATCTGTGAATTTGGAGCACAGGGCCTCGCTACAAACAAAACTGAAAAGTATCTTTAAAATTTAAAAAGAAGTGTTGGTCATGTAAATATAAACAAACATGTTGTAAAAGTTACTTATTATCTCAGTACTGAATGTTTATTGAAACTGTAACTACTGCAAATGATAAAAAAACGAATATTTACGCATCAAGAAAATTTCTACCTCCGTTTTCCGCCATATTGCTTTTCATCTGCCCGCTCGAAATTTTTCGGGCGATCCGGGCTACTTTCTGACCGCCCGGCGGCTTAAAAATATTTGAAACAAGTTACTTGCCCGCTTCCGGAAGTATTAACCGGCTTGACCCGGCTTATGAAACAAGTGCGCCCAATGATGCAGTTGAATAGCTCTCATCAGTATGTTTCAGCATATGAAGTTTGACAATACACATTATTTTGTGCATAGATTTAAATATTAAGATTGGAAAAAAAAATCAGAAGCCAGTCATAAGCTGTTTTTTAGCTTTAGTTTTTCTCTGACTGCCTGGTTGACTTTGGGTGTTGGGTCCCTGAGATTTCTGAATATCTGGTTGACTTTGGGTGCTGGGTTCCTGAGATTTCTGACTGCCTAACATTGGATTTTGTAGTAAGTCAAAAGTATTAAGACTAGAATCAAATAAGTCCATAGAACAGTTCCAGTCAGACAGACTGGAGGACAAACTGCTTCTACCTGGAGAGATAAATTTGGATCCTTGGATTGGGGATTGATGCATGCGTGATGGAGTTGATCTGAATCCATCTGACTGAACAGAGGAATTAGACTTAACAGAACGTTTGCTACATGAACTTGATATTGAGGAATGTCTTCTTCTTTTACTAGGGGTTGGATGTAGCTGAGGTGATGAACACATCATGTCACGTCTAGTCCCTCCAGGAAGGGTCTCATTTCCACTTCTTACTGATCTCTTATCTTTTCTAGGAGAATGAAAAGACAACATTCTGGGTGGGGTGGGAAGGAATCCATCTGACCTGAATGATATAGAACTGAGATTGGACACATGGTCTGATGTAAGAGAGTTCTTCCTTTTCAATTGTGACGGTACTGCCATGAATGGATAATCTCTTTCAACCTGACTTAAAAACACATCAGAAGTGTTACTTTCTTGTTCATCACCAGAGTTTGTTCTCTCGTCTTTAATATTTGAATGAGTATGTTCTGTGTTATTTTCAATGCTCGACATTGAATCATTTTCAACAGTTCTATTAACACCTGAATCCTCCTCCTCCTCTCTATACTTTGACATAACAGGAAAGGAATCATGGGCTTTGGTATTTTCTTCTACATCAGACTGACTTTCATGTGCTTGTCTGGCTATCAGATCATCCAACTCTTTGTTGCCTGTAACCCACACTGGGGCACGGTCTACAGGAAGGGTAGTAGAGTCCCCCATTTGTGTTGAATGTCTTTGTACTGAACTTTTTGAGGATTCTTTCTTTGTTAATTTCCTTTTTTCCTTAATTTCCTCATCCTATAAAGATATAAGTGTATACTAGGAAATAAGGGGTGTTATAGTGTATGTGAACATTATCTTGTTTTACAGCTGATACATGTAATGCAAAATTAGTTACAGAGTATGTAAACATTATCTTGTTTTACAGCTGATACATGTAATGCAAAATTAGTTAGTGTATGTAAACATTAGCTTGTTTTACAGCTGATACATGTAATGCAAAATTAGTTACAGTGTATGTAAACATTATCTTGTTTTACAGCTGATACATGTAATGCAAAATTACATTCACACATCATTATTTGATGGGATGAATATGAATCAGAAATTTACAGCTCTGCCAATATATTACAACCTTGAATATGTGGAAATGTCAATCTTCAATGTGATTGTTTTATATATCAATTGTATCCATAGTGAAAAGGTGTTATAACTACCCACCCTGGTCAGTGTTACAGCTACCCACCCTGGTCAGTGCTACAGATACCCACCCTGGTCACTGCTACAACTATCCACCCTGATTAGTGCTACAAATACCCACCCTGGTTAGTGCTACAACTATCCACCCTGGTTAGTGCTACAGCTACCCACCCTGGTTAGTGCTACAACTATCCATCCTGGTCAGTGCTACTGTTATCCACCCTGGTCAGTGCTACAGCTACCCACCTTTGTCAGAACTACAACTACCCACCCTGGTCAGCGCTACAGCTACCCACCCTGGTTAGTGCTACAGCTACAACCCCCCCCCCCCCCCCCCCCTCTTGTCAGTGCTACAACTACCCACCCTAGTCAGTGCTACAACTACCCACCCTCTTCAGGAGAAGTTGTTTAAAATTCTCCTCGTAATCCTCATCATCCTCTTCCTTATTCCACTGGTGTAGAAGTATCTGACTCAGTGTGTCATAATCCTTCCCATCATCCTCTTCACTGTCAGGCTCTACAGAGTCTTCAAGCTGCACTATGTTCTATAGAAAATGAAAGTAAAAATTCAAAACAATTGACATTGCAAATGCTGATCACTTTTAATTTTCTTCCATTCATTATAAATGAGTCTCACTAGGAATGAAAATCTTTCTGCTCCTCAAGCAACATTTCCTAAACTTTATATGTATATATGTGTTGTTTGCTATTGAAACATACATTGTGCTGCAAGTCTGCAATTTTCCTGGCAACATTAACTTCATGTAGACAGGAGTAACAGAGAGCCTGTTTATGTAATGACAGATTTAGACCACAGGTGTCCACCATACACAGGGAACAGGAGACATGACCTGGCTTACTCAAGGTGATATCTAAAAATAAGACACAGGGTCAGTATCATGTGATCAACTTTAATAAAATGTGTTACATCAACTAAAACAAAGATTATGCACTGAATGTGAGCTGACCCTTACCTAAGGTTATTTGGACAAGTTCAGTATCAGGGGGTTTTATAGAGTAAAATCCTTGTCTGGTACATAATTTTGTAACTGAGAAACATAAGCAGATCATACTAAACAGCCTATGATCAGAGGATGTGTCATGATCTTGAACAAGGACATTTGCATAAGATCATTTCTCATTCACAATAGTATCTGTTTTCAGTATTAAAAGTATAAAGCAATAGGAATGAAATATGATCTCATTCTGTAAATCACTATCATATATCCACTAATCAAATGTCAGCTCATAATCCGCAGGTGCAGTTAAAAAGATGTTAGAACAGTTAGTTTGAGAAAGAATGAAATATAGGGCATAAGTATGCAACACTATGTGCCAAGGTCACAAAGTAGATTTCATAAATTTTATCTTTAAAGCCTTTTACCCCTCTAATACAGGCGCACTGACTTCTTACATAAAAAAAACTATCCTGACTTACAAAAGCACGGGTATGAGAATAACGCATCTTTAAACATAATTACTACAAATGAACTAAATCTCAGACCTGAGAAGAAATCTGACACATTGACATTCTTGGTGGCCTTTTTGCAGCTATCAACATATCTATGTAAATCTTCTGTCCACCTTTTTCCTCTCTCAGTTGTAGAATTATCCATCATTAAATCTCCAGACATTGGCCCTGCACAAAATGTCAGGTCTTTCATTTCATTGCTTGATTTAAACTCTTGGAAATAGAGTTCTCCTAGACTGTCAAGCTAGAAGGCAAATGGAAAAATTTAATTTTCAATAACATAGTATAAATACTAAAAAGACGTACATATTATGTATTTAATTTATAAAAAAAAACATATATCATTATTATACACCTGTAACAAGACAAAGCCTGTAGAAGTTCTGACGACTGAAATTCCAGTCAGAGAGACATTAAACCTGAGGTCAGCAGCAAATTTGTGGAGTGGGTTACAAAGGTCCGGCCACTCAGTAAAGTCTCTGTCAAAAAGATTCAGAAAAGTCATAAATTAAAAACTTTGTTCATATGTTTCATCTATATGTACCAATCCTATCTTGTGTTGATTGATTTACATGTAAAATGCACCGTCCCTCAAAAAAAAAAACATTCATAAAAACTGAGTATTAAAATATATAAGGATAGTAGGATTAATCTCCTCACCCAATTTGAGAAAATTTCCATGGAGATCCTATAGACTGTGGTGATGCCGAGAGACCATATCTGTATTGGTAGGCACAAACTTCTGCTGGAGACAAACTCCCCATAGCAACTAAAACACTGTCAGTTTCCATGACAACAGAAGAAGTCAGCTGTGGGAAATTTCTCAGCATATGGTTCCACTGTAGCATCTGTTAATAGAAAAGTTCAACCAAGGAACATCAGATATTGTCTAGGACAGTAGATACTTCAGTAAGCTTGTGGAGAATTTTACACTTAATATCATAACAAACAAGAAAATTTTCTATTTCCTACAAGGCCCTGCAGTTTTTAACCCTTGACCTTGACCTTTAAACAAGTGGCCTCATAATGATCTTTGTCTCTTTTTATAACAATCATCATGTTCAAATAAACTTCATTTTCTTGTGCTGGTTAGTTAGTGATTAATGACCTAAAATTCTACAGGTAATGCAGTAACATGTATTTTCTAACTTGGGTATACTTTCACTATGTAGGTGAACAAAACTTAGAGTAAGATACCTCAATATACATATAAATAAACATTCTTGATCCTTAAGCCTTGACCTTTGAGCAAATTACAGATATAGCGAAGTAAATTCGCAGGTCCCCATACATCTAAATAAATTAGGACTGCTTATAAAATGTGTTTTACTTGTAGTACATGTACTTCTACTTACAGGGTTCCCGGGAAATCGATCATCCACCAATAAGAGACTCTGGTCTGTAGCTACCAGATAGGCATGATGGGAGAACGGGTGTTTCTCCACCAAACACAACCGCTCAGCAGGATGTAAGAACTTACTGGGCAGTGCAAAAAGGTCAATACTGGAGTCATACTGCCCCTATATGATAATGAAAATCATGGTGTTACAAGCTTGAGAACAGATACTGATGGTAACTCTGGGAATAAGGACACTGTTGGACAATCACTGATAATAACTTTTTTTTCTGGAAGCATTCTAAAACCGAAATTTGATTGATATGAGTAAATACCCTAATGTCAAACATTTGGACGGCTGTACAGTCTGCCATGATGATGTGACGTGGGCTTGATCCAAAGACTGCCTGCCGCCAAGCCTGATGGGAAGGAAATCTGGTCTCCATGTTTTGTCTGACAAGTTGTTTACTGTAATTATTTGTGACAATGTCAGTCGTCATGCCAATGAAAGATAAAAGAATAAACTCTCAAATGATTACAGTCCATTCAACTGCCAACTCTGCTTTGGCAATACAAAACATAGACAGATCTGCTTATCCATGTTACATCTTGTTTGTGAAGATAATCAAATAATTTCTTCATTACTATACAGAAGTATGTACAGGTCTATTTTACAACAATCATCAATATTGAGAACACATGTACCTTGTAAATTCATATATCAACCTCAAGTCAATACAGTGCATTTGACTTTGATATTCATAGAAGCTGACCTTTGAGCTGGAGACCAGAGATAAATGTTTCCTTTGTCTGTGGCCACGGCACACTCTCCAGGAATATAACCACTGAAAAAAGAAAATGCACATACATGTACACAAAACATTTGAAATAATTGATCTTTAAAGATTTACAGTTCTTTTGCATGGATATGGAATGTAGTTGTGCATGAAAAATAACAGAGAGCTGTTAAACCCCTGACCAAGAACTATATATATACTCTGTAAGGCTCAAAACTTTTAAAGGAATTTTTAATAAGAAATTACTATTTCTTGAAATTTTCACACAAGAGCATGCACATTTTACAATGACTTTTGAACATTGTTAAATACAGGGTTCAACCCTTTCATTCCTTGCCCTATCCAGCTCATCTACTTTGTACAGTCCAAGTTTAACCTTATAACCCAAATGATGATCTGCAAAGGGCATGTAAATAAATGTATATATAAATCCATTTCAGGGTTTGTGTAGGTTCTGGCCTGGGTACTGGTAAATAATTGAAATCTGGAAAACCATTCAACATAAACGTGATTGTTCTTGTGGGATCAGTTCTCTCTTGGCAATACAGGGTTGTCCCTAAGACCCGGGGGCCGGAGAATTTCCCCGCCTATAATGATGTAATCCTCCGGTTATTTTGGCATTCCTCCTAAACTCCCGATTAGGTGAGGAACCCCAGATCCCCTTCTACTTTTTAAATGTCCCCTTCTACTTCAATTCTTAGGGACAACCCTGCAATATGAAATCTAGTTAGCACCTGATGTTATTCACTAGGTAGCTCCAGTGGTAAGTCAAAAATGTTAGAAATTTTGAGCCAGGAAATGTTCTAGCTGATTATGTACAGTCAATCCTCATTATCTTAAAATTCGAAGAAAATTTTAAAATATCTGAGAAATCAAGATTTTGAAGTTAAAATACATCAAACGAAAAAGTGGTTGGGACTTCCAAATCACTTAGATGTATCAATGGCATTTGAAATGCCGAAACTCAACTGTATATAGCTTGATCCAATATACATTTGAAATCTAACTAGTAGCCTATGGGCTGCAATGCTCATCCGAGTAACTATGGTCATTCTGCTCTTTTTCAGCAGACTTTTTCCCTATATATTCTTATGTAACATTGAAATATGTTGTGGCCTCACCTTACCCCCAGCCCCACCCTACCCCCAGGTGTCATGATTTGAAGAAACTTGAATCTGAGGATGCTTTCACTTAAATTTGACTAATCATAGCTTTGCTGTTCCCTAGAAGAAGATTTTTCCTATATATTCCTGTTTAAACTTTGATCACCCATCATGGTCCCATCCTACCCCCAGGGGTCATGATTTGAACAAACTTGAATCTACACTTCCTGAAGATGCTTCTATATAAATAATGACTAATCATGACTTTGCTGTTCTTGATAAGAAGAATTTCAAAAAAATTTCCTATGTATACCTATGTAAAACTTAGTGATCATCCGTAGTGGCCTCACCCTACCACTGGGGACGATTCGAACAAACTGGAATCTACACTACCTGATTATACTTTCCAATTAAATATTGTTTATCATGGCTTTGCTGTTCAAGGAAAGAAGATTTTTAAAGATTTATCCTAATTATGTATTCCTTTGTATAACTGATATCGCCCATAGTGGCCCCACACTACCCCGGGGGTCATGATTTGAACAAATTTTAATCTACACTACTGGAAAAAGCTTTCAAATAAATTTCGGTTTTTTTTCTGGCCCAGTGGTTTTTGAGAAGATTTTTAAATTACCTCACCCAATGTTCACTATTTTTTTAATTAGCTTCCATTGGATGAAGATGTGGTCCTTCATTTAAAGAAACTTCCTTTTATCCAAGGATACTCTTTGCCAAGTTTGTTTGAAATTGGCCCAGTGGTTCTGGAGAAAAAGATAAAAATGTGAAAAGTTGACAACATGCTGACGACTACAGACAAATTTTGATCAGGAAAGTTCTCTAGAGTCTTCCAAGTTCTGGTATATACCTCAGATCAACTGAAGTGGGGAATTCATCCTTAAAATGTTCTTTAGCAACAGAACTCAGTGTGCTGGAAACTCCCTCAGCTGATTCTGGAAGTGAGAACAGCTCACAAAGGCTCCCTCCCCTTGCCACACAGAAGTCTAAACAACCAGAATAAAATCTTAATCAACAACAATTTAAATTGAAATCAATGCACTGATAAGTAATGGTAATTATATGTGTCACTTTGTATTGTTATTGAATCAGACTAGAACATTAATGGCTGAAAAATACTCTACCAAGATTTTTGCAGCTTTTGGACTGAAGCTGCTGAATTTCATAGTCAACATTAATGCTGTTTTTAAGTGTTACTTTTACTTCAGGACTTGTGCTTAGTTCAAAGAGAGCTGCAAAAAATAGAAAAGTGATATATTTACCTTATTAAATTTACATTTACGAAAACCTACAGTATTGGAAACATTGACAGGAAATTAAGGAATGAGGTCTGACCAGTTGTTTTAAAATTGTGATCTGCAGGACATATTAAAAGTTGATTTCCACCATTTGCTTGGTTACCAACACTTGCCAAACACCCTCCAGTGTATGTAGAGTTATAGGTCTGGTACAAGGAGATAAAAACAACAATAATAAATAGTAACATAAAATTATCTAATTAGATAAAGGTTTGATAAACAGCTAAAACAATATCCCTTCCCCGCTTTGATTCCTGATGCTTTCACATGAATTCAAGTTATAATTGTATATTTCATATATTTATTGCTTAATTTTACCTACCATGACCTGATGAATGTCTTTGACCTTTTCATACTGTTTTACAAGGTCATCTAACCTCCCAGGAACACCGATAGCTTTGGATTTTTCACTTTTAAGTTGCTCTAGCACTGATGAAAATGCTCCCTGCACCCTTATATTTTGAGGCTACAATTTAGAATACTTAACACAAAAGGAAGTAAATTCCCATGATATTATTTTATACATTTTCTAGATGTTGACTCCCTACCTTTATCAGAACTCCTCTCATTGTTTTTAGTTTATTACAAAAGGCACTAACTTCATGGTAGTGTGTTTTGATTTCCTTTGTGACCCTGTCTTCAAATGGGTATGGAACTAAAATAAAGCAATAGTAAAAATAACAAACCAGTAGTAAAATTGCTAATCAAAATTATTTTACTAAGAAACAGTGTGCTTCCCAAATTATGATTTTTTCCATTTTACTGATAGTCTCATTTCCCCTCTCCTCATTTCTATTTCCTTTACCTTATTTCACACTAAACTTAAGGATATACATGTTTTGACATTTAAAAACCAGTATATCAAATAAAAGAATTTTATACTAGTGAACAATTCAAAATTACATTTTGTATCCCTCATTATTTGCTAGCAAATTTGCAAGTTCACACATTATCCACAGTTTATATCTATTCAGGATGGCAATCTGTATAATCTGTTAATCAGTCAGAATGATGGTAATTGATTGGAAAATTCTGCAATCCGTTAGTCAGAAAAAAAATAAAAATGTGTAAAGTTGAATGCAATTTCTATAAAATTCAATTTCTAATTTACACAAATTTGAAGGTAATTAAGGCACTTGGGATTGAGATTGTGGGATAATTGGTCAGTCCGTTAAAAGTATTAATTACTGATTTAATACTATGACCTTACTCAGCCTGTCCTTACTTCTTTAATGTTAATTCTACTCAATTATCACAAAGATCAAAGAGCCGCAGTCATTATTCTCCAATAAATCACAAACATCATCAACAAATTATCAATAAATTTTAATTGGTTTCCTCTAATTTTGACTGCCATCAAAAGGAAAAGGATAGAGGTAACTTTTGATTGTGATGCAGATTGGTGGGAAAAAATAACTTTGGGTTTGGTATACATCATACTTTTTCTAATACTTGAGATACAAATGAACAAGGAGTAGCATTCGATTGTGACGTCAAAAGACACTACTGATGACGTCTAAATCTAGCTTCTGTATTTCTCTATATAGAAGTTTAAAATATTCGCCATAGCAGAATAGAAATAATTCACTCGTCATCAGAATTGTTGGAGAATATACCCCCCAGTCTCAAGATTTTGTTGGCAAATAAAAACCTTGCCCTTAGGACTTGTTTTTTTTTTGCCAACAAAATCTCTAAACTATCAGGGTATATTCTCCAACAATTCCTCCGACGCAGGTATTATTTCTTAATTAAATCACTGTTGATTACTGTAAACAGATTATAATATCTTACCCATCTTTCCTTTCATTTTCTTATCAAATTATTAAACACACTTTAATCATAATCAAGACTTAGTGCTAATTTTGGTGACAATGCATAATGATTGTGTTACATCTGGTCTGAAAAACTGATGTCTTTGACATCTCGGCATGTTTCATAGCTTTTCTAATATTTTTTTTTTGTCTATGGAAATGAAATACATGTATAGTATTCCGATCAAGCATAAACAGAATAACACTAACATCTATTTCAGTCTTATTGTGTATATAAATACATGAATAGAGCTTACTTTGGAAAATTAAATATGTCAAGAAATGTGTACCGTATTTTGTCATATAATTAACAGGTCGGAACATCTTATGGTTAATGGTTATCGACTGGCATTTCTGTAGTATTTGATTGCCATCCCCAATAAATAAATATATATCTATACATATATATACATGTATAATCAAATATATTTATTATATCACGCAGGATCTTCAAGAGATTATGGTACAAAGATTACCTTTCATTGGAGACAAATGAAGGGGCAAAGCTGGTCTTGATGCAGAATATGTCTTTGACTCAAAAGGAACATGCTGAGAGTGAAATTTTCTTTCCCTTACATCAGCTACATCAATATTTTTGTTGCTTCCCAATCCCTGAAAGATTTGTCTTTGGGTTTTCTCTTTTTGATATTTGATTGGAAAACATTTTTGTGGGAATAAATCCATTACTGAAATAGGAAAAGATCCCGTTTATACATTATACAGTCTGTGAAGTTGGTAATATATATCAACCTTCTGGTTCTACTGAAAGAAAAGTGCAGTAATTTTTCTATTTCACAACAACCAGTATTGTTATACTCAGTAAAGAATAGTCCCTATATTCTCTTTATAGAGAATCTGAGTCAATGTAATTGATAATAGCTCCTCCGAAAAATATTGACCTGTCATTTAATTTCAACTATTGACCGACAAAGAGAGTTTTCCCACATTATTATTGATTTGGATTCTGATAAGAAGATTGATTTATTGTGACGTAATGATACTGTCGCGATTTCCAAAAAGCATAACGTCACAATAGAAAAACCAAGTAACACAAACAAGGCAAGATTTCCTAACACTAGGTCTACACTGAAGATGCAGATAATTTATTTAAAACAAAATACTATTTTAATGATTTGTTTTTCATATAACAAAACAATTACTGACTGTGTTTTTGGGCAACACTGATTATGTTAGCCTCCTCAGGATGAAAGTATTGCCCTCGATCCGCTCCTTGTCGGGCAATATTTCATCCCTTGGAGGCTAACATAATCAATGTTGCCCGAAAACACAGTTAGTATTTGTATAATGTACACCCCTGAATGTCATAATTAAAACTTTACAATTATGATAAATCACAGGCATCTGTATTTTGTATTTTTTCTCTAATAATGAAAGCAAGTGCAGTAGGCTGTGATGATAATTTCTACAAACAAAAATAAATTAATTTAAATTTTACACCGGTAAAGGAAATTCCTGTAATTCTGAACCATCTTTGTGAACATAGCCACATGGTGGCTAGATTATAGCAACAGCTTACTTAAAAAATAATTTTCTAAAAAAGAATTTTTTATATGAAATATCGTTGCACCTAAACTGTTATATATGCATCTTATTCCTTAATTACAATATACTTTCAAAGCTAATTAATATATTTTTCTAATGTTTTCCAATGTAAATTTATATCTCATTTCAGTCATTTGGGATATCGTATATATCACAAGTGGGCTATAACTGTAGAATTATTTTAATATGTGGGACTCAATGTTCATGTGCACTCAAAATATTAGTGATTTGTTGGGATGTAATTTCATGGGTATTTTGTACATACAGAAGATTCAATGAATTGATGTGTAGACAGTTTTAGTTGGTGGGGATGTAGATTCGTGGGTAAGAGTGAGATACAAAATCCATGAACATTGGTCCCCCACAAACAATAAAAATTCCACAATATACTGAAGGGAAAAAGACACGCAGGGTAACATAACATGTGCTAATTATACAATGCATGGCTGAAAATTATAACCAGAAGTCTCTGACGAAACTGAAGCTCTACTTGTTTGTACATGTACTTATAACAAAGGAACAGAAAAGTAGCACTTGCATTTGAAACAATGCAAAAGCAATAAATAAAATAATGGTCCTTGGTTTAGTCTCTTTTTGTGGCAAGATTTATTGCAATCAGACTAAAACTGTTGGAAGAGTAGCCTTTTGAAAGATTTCACAGAAATTTCTATTTTTTGTAACCATGGAAAGACCATTTATCAAAATTGAAAACAGATACCGTATATACTCGCCTATAAGTCGGTTGTATTTTTTAAGCTTCAATTTGAGGGATTGACCCGCTAAAATACCTATATTTTTATAACTTGCGTATAAGTTGGATAAGGAGTTTTGGACCAAAGTTTAACTCTCAAAAGACCGACTTATAGGCGAGTATATACGGTGTACAGAATTATACATCTAAGTGTGTCTACTGTGTGCAAAGGTATATTGAAATTAGACCAAAACTGTAGGAGGAGTACATCACTACATGTAGCATTTTGAAATTATTTCACAGAAATTTCTATTTTTAGTAACCATAAAATCTTAAGGAAATTTCACAGAAATTTCTATTTTTGGTAACCATGGCAACACTGTTCATCAAAATCAAAACAGAATCACTGAATTATCTTTCTTAGTATATTCTACTTGTATGCCAAGTTATACTGAAAATTGAAATCAGACCAAAGCTGTAAGAGCAGCATTTTGAAAAATTGTTTACAGACAGCTAGACAGGCGGACAGACAATGGACACCTCACTATCACATAAGTCTCTGACCAGTAGAGCTAAAAACTGGTCAGAGGATTTTTCTTGCTGTCTACTTAAAACAGTCTCAAAAAATTCTCAACCGTGTAATATATCAGGCATATATCATTATGTGACCCAGGGAAAGTGATAAAAAGCCAAAATATCATGAAGAAAAATGGTGACAAGTTGGGCAACACATTCTGTCTTCTGTCACTTGATAATCTTGAGGTACAGACATCATTTTCTGCTAACTAGAGTCAATTTGAAATTTTTGCCAATCACGGTACAGCAAATAGAAGTTTAGAGGGGTCTGAATATTGCAATGCTAATTTGAGGTCAAAGCTCAATCTCCCATGCAGAGTTGTTGTTCATTCCTCTCTCAGACACCTCTGCAATGAGCTGGTGTAACGATTTTTGGCATAAGGTAAAAAACATGATTTTCCAAGGATTACTTCAAATTTAACGAATAGTTCTACATCTAGTTGGTAAATATATACCTTAAAAGACAAACATTAGTGTAGGAATTTTATTATAATGAATTAAAACAAAAACACTATTTCTTGTGCTTACATGCAAAAATCACTGTTATATATGCAAACCAATGACAGAGGTGAATGCATGAGTCAACGGTAGAGTGGTCAAAGCTAGGTAACAGGTTGCTGTGAGTTCTTGTGAGAGTTCCACCATAGAATGTTTTCTCAGTAGTCTGAGAGGAACTGGAGGGGTTGCTGACCAACCGTGGCATCCACATGTGATGCCACCATGTAAAAGGCTACTTATCTTGCCATCCACATAATAACCACATCACAACCACTATTGATACCGTATGCAGTCAACTGACCATCAATTTCATACCCAAAATAGAATTCAATTTAGCTAGTTTGCAAGCTCATTGACCTTTTATTTGTGTTCCTCTTATTTGTGTGTCATATGGCTTAGCCTAATTTCCAGAATGATAAACCTAAACCCCAAGTAAATACAGCTTGTCAAGACTAAAGAATTTCTAGGAAATCATCACATTCATCTATACTAGACTGTGTGTTGTCCAATTTGTGCCAATCGAACATCTATGTTCTAAATGGACAGTAAGGTACGAAGGCATCAGAATGACCCTGCTTCTCTCGACTAAGTAAGGGCTGTCTTGTTAGAAGAGTGGATCGAATAATACACTCAAGAGAAACATAAATGAACTCCCCTGCATGCACAGGAGAATCAGTTCTGCAAGATATATGCGAGAGGGAGGTATATGAGATATTGATCAGTCAGTCGATTTTGCTTTGGAGGTATCTTTAAATGTATGCTTCAATTGCTCACGAATTATAGGTCAAAAATCAAATAAGATTTTAGTAACTTGTAGATTAAAGATGCATTGGAATGTTATATAACATAAACATTGATGAAACATTTGAATAAATAAAACTAAATAACCTCAAATGTTAACCCTGCATTTCCTTTTCCTTTCAATAAAATCCCTTTCGGACTAATCCACACCTTGCGAAAATTGTGTCCCTGTTCAGGGTAAACCAAAAGGGAAAGAAATTATGTTTCTCCTCTTTATGCTACCAAACAATTGGGCATGCTGTGATAAATCCACAGGGATTTCATTTTTTTCTTTTCAGAGTGTGGGTAGCCCCAGCCTGGGGCAATCATATTATGAGATGCAAATATTTTTTTCTTTCAAATAACGAAGTTTCAACAGGTCAAGCACAATCTCTTGATTAAGCTATATAGCTTGAAATAGCTATATAGCTTTATCAAGCTACTCAAAATAGCTTGATAAAGTTATTTATATGCAGTTTTTCACAAAAATGTTTTTTGTAAGAAATAGACAAAAAGTTGCAAGTATTTGACTATTCACATATATGTACAATTGGCTACCAAAAAAGCAACTCAAATCAAAGATAGTTCTAACATTACAGCTTTTGAATACTTCCAAGCAAAAGATGAATTTCCATTGTTTGAGTAACTGTACCCTTGTGTGCATTGAGGTGTGGATATGTATGATTGCTTCTCATTGTGCTGAAGTATTACCAATCAATTATCTAATATCTTGTTGACAATAACTGCCCTCCTTTATAATTTCATTCAAGAAGTAACTGTGTGGTCACTAATCAATAGACCAAAAACTTTTAGAACTTCAGTACAATGTCTCTCAAGGGGATGCAATTTGATGAGTGATTTTTACATGCATTGTATTCAGAAGAGTTCAAAGTGGAATATTATCACTGCACCAAGGTGCGACTTTTCATACATGCTGAAAAAATAAAACATTTAAGAAAAAATGTGATAAAATAGCTAAATCAAGCCATTCTGAGTAGCTTAATAAAGCTATATTCTATATAGCTAAATCAAGCTATATAGCTAAATCAAGAGATTGTGTCAGACCTGTTCAAACCAGAAAAATGCAAAGGCTACTGTGAGGATTCTATAGCCCCCTCTCCCCCCCCCCCCCAAAAAAAAAATAATGGCGGCTAAGGGTTTTGAAAAGTGTGGATGATTCAACTGTTGGCCAACCTGTTAGATGGGAGGCAAAATGTCAAAATTTCCTGTCTTAAGATATATATATCATATACACCATATATCGTAGAGACACCAGACCAAAATTTTTAGTCTCTACAAATCTCGCTGAGATTATGTAACTACCTTGATGTTGTTTATACCATTTTTTCAAGACACCATCTTCTAATCAACCGCTTAACATGTGTTTAAGTGACAAACGTTAAGGAAAGAGGTCCATGGAGAATATATCCATTATTCATTAAGAAATGTTGACAAACTCACGCTTACTTGATACCGGATAATAAAATGGGGAAAGAAATGAAAAACAAAACTGGTACTCATTTCCGGAAAAGAAATGGTGACATATGGGATTCATAAGGATAAACTATGTTTAAGTCAAATATAATTAATATGTAAGACGGTGCGACCGTTGGTGAGGGCGGAGCCATCAAGTGAACATTTCTACATTTTATTGTTTAATGATAAATCAGTGTTAAAATCAAGTTGTAAGTCATAACAAAGACCTCAGTCCTTTTAAAAAAGCTCTAATTAAGTTCTCTTACCTCAAATATTTTTTATTTCAAATAAAGAAATTTAAGAGTATTTGGTTTTATAAAGCTGCAAAACTTTTACTAAGATATTTCATCATGAATTGCTTGGCCAGAGCACTCAAAATCAAATAGCATAACGGGGAAAGAGTGTGCACTGGACCAGTGTCGCCAGTCAGGGATTCAACCTACCCAGGCCCAAGAACTCTTAAACGTGAACTTTTTCATCTATATGTATCTGTCCAACAATTATACGTGAGCTTGCATGAGCATCATTTCTTTATCTTTCACGACTTAATAAAAAAAAACCAATCCAGAAACATCAAGTCATTTAATTCTCATCTTTTACTTCCAATGCATGGTTATGACATCAAATACAAACAAGCATTCTGAGAGTATTGCATTAGCAATACTAGTCCCCTACCGGCAAGTGTAATCTGGTTCCCGTTAAGAATTGAAAATGCCATAATTCCGTGAAAAATTAATGAAGCGGGACGAAATGCAAACTTGATCTATAACTAATCAAGGTAAAGCAACATACCAAAAATCAGCACAATATCTACAAGCGTTTAGAAGAAAATTGCGGAAAACCCTTAAAAATTAAAAAGGCCGTAATTCCGGCAAAAGTCAATGAAGCGGAACGAAATGCAAACTTGATCTGTAACTCATCAAGATACACTCACGTACCAAAAATCAGCTCAATATCTGCAAGCGTTTAAGAAAAAAGTGCGGAAAACCAAGTGGGACAGACTGACAGACAGACAGAGGGACAGACAGACAGACAGACGGACGGACAGACGGACGGACAGACTCAGAGGAAACCTATAGTCCCCTCCGGTTTCACCGGTAGGGGACTAACAAGCATTCTGAGAGTACTGCATTAGCAATACTAGTCCCCTACCGGCAAGTGTAATCTGGTTCCGTTCCCGTTAAGAATTGAAAATGCCATAATTCCGTCAAAAATTAATGAAGCGGGACGAAATGCAAACTTGATCTATAACTAATCAAGGTAAAGCCACATACCAAAAATCAGCTCAATATCTACAAGCGTTTAGAAGAAAATTGCGGAAAACCCCTAAAAATTGAAAAGGCCGTAATTCCGTCAAAAATCAATGAAGCGGAACGAAATGCAAACTTGATCTGTAACTCATCAAGATACACTTACATACCAAAAATCAGCCCAATATCTGCAAGCGTTTAGGAAAAAAGTGCGGAAAACCAAGTGGGACAGACTGACAGACAGATAGAGGGACAGACAGACAGACAGACAGACAGACAGACAGACGGACAGACAGACAGACAGACGGACAGACGGACGGACAGACTCAGAGGAAACCTATAGTCCCCTCCGGTTTCACCGGTAGGGGACTAATAAGGACCATTGTCAGGGACTACATCGGAAGTTGAACTTGGGACCCAAACTACAGAAAGATGATCTGACTCCTGGGTTATCAGAACACTTGAAAACTGATCATCTGACCAACACTAGGGCTGTGTATCGTGAGGGCTAAAAGTATCAGCATCGCAAAATTTCTGAGAATTATTTTCTTAATTTTAATGGAAAAATGTAGAGTAAATGTAACGTTTCTGCATTTTTAAAAAAACTAATCTGATTCGAATAGTCTTTAGTGCTTTCTAAAACTAACATAAACGCAAGATGTTTTTTTTTTAATATCTGGAAAAACGAATTTAACTCAATGAAAGTTTTTTTTTTCCAAATATTAAATTGTTTAAGCGAAAACTATTAGAATTTTTAAACCAAAACTTGTGAATAATAGGATACATTTCTGAATAGAATATTTGTCAATGTATCGACCCCCCCCCCCCCTCTGCATCAGTAATTGATGTTTTGTGACATCCCTATCCACAACATAATAAAATGGATCATATATGGAAGCTTTAAAAAAAAAGATATTTTAGCACTACTCAACAACTTTGAACTCTTTACATGGATTAGCATGGGTAATGTCAAATGAAGATTCGTTTTTTGGGTTTTTAGTCCCCTACCGGTGAAACCGGAGGGGACTATAGGTTTCCTCTGAGTCTGTCCGTCCGTCTGTCTGTCTGTCTGTCCCTCTGTCCCACTTGGTTTTCCGCACTTTTTTCCTAAACGCTTGCAGATATTGAGCTGATTTTTGGTATGTGAGTGTATCTTGATGAGTTACAGATCAAGTTTGCATTTCGTTCCGCTTCATTGATTTTTGACGGAATTACGGCCTTTTCAATTTTTACGGGTTTTCCGCAATTTTCTTCTAAACGCTTGTAGATATTGAGCTGATTTTTGGTATGTGGGTTTACCTTGATTAGTTATAGATCAAGTTCGCATTTCCTCCCTCTTCATTAATTTTTGACGGAATTATGGCATTTTCAATTCTTAACTGGAACCAGATTACACTTGCCGGTAGGGGACTAGTATTGCTAATGCAATACTCTCAGAATGCTTGTTTTTTTTTGGGGGGGGGGGGGGGTTAAGCCAAGAGAACACGAAACTTTACTCATATACATGTCATGTATTTTGCCATCCCTCCTGTATTGTTTAACTTACTTTTTCTCATATGGTTATGTACATGTATTGTTAGTCCCCTACCGGTGAAACCGGAGGGGACTATAGGTTTCCTCTGAGTCTGTCCGTACCTCTGTCTGTCCGTCTGTCTGTCTGTCTGTCCGTCTGTCTGTCCCTCTGTCTGTCTGTCAGTCTGTCCCACTTGGTTTTCCGCACTTTTTTCTTAAACGCTTGCAGATATTGAGCTGATTTTTGGTATGTGAGTGTATCTTGATAAGTTACAGATCAAGTTTGCATTTCGTTCCGCTTCATTGATTTTTGCCGGAATTACGGCCTTTTCAATTTTAGAGGTTTTCCGCAATTTTCTTCTAAACGCTTGTAGATATTGAGCTGATTTTTCGTATGTGGCTTTACCTTGATTAGTTATAGATCAAGTTTGCATTTCGTCCCACTTCATTAATTTTTGACGGAATTATGGCATTTTCAATTTTTAACGGGAACCAGATTACACTTGCCGGTAGGGGACTAGTATTGCTAATGCAATACTCTCAGAATGCTTGTTTAACTTAGTTTTTCTCATGATTTTATACTTTATACACTATCATAATCCACCATAGGTTCCAACTGGCTAATACATTTTCTGTTCTATATTTCTAAAAGTACTTTTTAAAGTAAAAATTAGAAATCATTTTATTTTATCCGTTGAAACGTATCCACATGTATAAATGGAACATGTGTTTGATGTGGTAGTTTGAGCTTCAGACATGTCCAAAGATTTTTCTTTTGATGGTGAGCTTCACAAAACTGAAATTTAACACTTAAAAAAATGATAAATCTTTTGAGAAAAAAAATTCACAACAAAAATGAGACACAGGCTCCACCTACAAATGTATATAGGAACAAGCAAGTAATCAAAGACAAGAATGAATGAATGAATAGATAAATAATAAATAAATAAAATTAAGAAAAAATTTTAAAAATCAAAATGCATACCCCTTCCCCCCTTCTTGAGTTCATACCAGAATTCAGTAAAGCTTTTCATGCTTTTTACCACTAAAACATTTTTTTAAAATGTATTATTCAATAGAAAAATTATAGTGTGTCACAAAAAATCTTATATTTCTAGTATGTGTATTGAAAATAATCCTGAAGACATTCGTAATTAATAAATTTTATTAACAAATAAATTAGAGTTGTTTCTTTTCCGTAAAGTCTGGTGAAACGGCCACAGAAAGATCCGCCCCTCCATAGTGCGTAGTACGCAGTTTAGACAGTGACGTCACTGGAATTCGTTAAACTAAGTTTTTTTGTTTCACCAAAATATAGTAAAGTTTATTAAAAGGTGAATAAATCTGTTTTTAAAAAGAGAGTACGCATATGAAATATCAATTATTACAGGTTGTTAAAAATGCAACAGTTTCCGCTGATTCATCAATGAATGACGTCACATGTCAGGTCTATGACGATCGAGAGCAAGTTATAGTTGAAAACGAAAGTAACAAGGATTTGTACCATAAGGGTTGGAATTAAAATTTCGATTCTCCAGCATCTCGTTAATGCGGGAATTTGTCGCGAGATTCAAGATGGAAAAGACTATGGACGCCATATTGGCGACAAGGTTCTCAGTTCCATAGGTATTGTAATAAAATTATAGTTTACAATAGAATTCAATATATTTTACATACATACGTGTTACCTATAGGGAGAGCTTCGCTCTCACGGGCCCTTCGGGCCCGTGAGAGGGCTCCGCCCTCTATAAAAATAAGCCAAAGAGTATGTCCTATATTGACATCCAGGAGGCTGATCTGGGTCCTTTCACTACAGAATATTTATTCAATTTGGGCCAATAACCTATAGTACAGTACTTTTACGTACGAATTAACAAATTTTTCAACACATTTGTAAAAATGAAAGTAAAAATAAAAAGTAAGGAATTTATTTATTTATTTCCAAAATTAGTTGTAAATGATGTTTTTCATTGGAAATATTTGATATGTTTAATGATAGTAAATGTATTCCAACTCCTTTGTGTTTTTAAACGATTTTTGAATTATAATTCTTTAAAGCAATAAGATAATGTACCATACTCAGATACTGAGGCATCCAGCACAATCCTCTTGATTTAGGGATGTAACTCTAATTATCTATAATTATATAGTTTTAAGCTATTCAACGTAGATTGCTTAAGCTATTTCAATACAGTATTTCACGTTTTTTAAATAATAAGTAGACAAAAGGTGGCAAGTATGTGACTACTCATATTTGTACTACATGGCTGTTTTTGAACAATTTTAAGCAGAGATTTGGTAACTGTGATACACTTTGCATAACTAAGTATGATTACTTATTATTGTGATGAATTATTACCAATCAATTATCTTGCTTACCACAATTGTCCTCCTAAATAAAATTTTATTCCAGAAGTAACTTTGTGGTCACCATGGTCACAAATCAATTGCTCTATGTCTAAATGGCCTCAAAACTTTAAGAACTTTGAGTATAAAGTCTCTGAAGAATACGCAATTTGATGAGTGATTTTATTTTCCTTTCATTGTTTTCAGACGAGTTCAAAGTTGAAAACTTTCATTGCACCAGTGCGACTTTTTTTACATGCTGAGAAAATTGGACATTTAAAAAAAAATATGATAAAAAAAGCTAAATAAAACTATTTTGAATAGCTAAATCAAGCTATTTTGAATAGCTTAACCAAGCTGTATATATGTAATATTAGCATATTCAAGCTAAATTGTAAGTGGATTGAATCAAAAGATTGTGCTGGACCTGTGTGAGCTTGGCTAAGATGTATAATTATTTAAACTGTTATTTATTTCTTTTCATGCATCGAAACATCTTTTCTGTATAGGGTAAGTATTAGATTGAAAAGTTGAACATCCACTCTTCTCTGTAAATGAAGTAAATTCTGTTAAACGTTGAGTCTTAATCATTTCTGACGAGCACAGCAAGTGCACATAATCCTAGGAAGTTGTACCCACAGATTTGAATACTTGTAGTTGGACCGCTGTAGCCACGTGGAGATGGGTGGCTAATGATGAGAACTGTGGAATCTGTAGAATGGCTTTTGATGGCTGCTGTCCTGATTGCAAACTACCAGGGGATGATTGTCCACTAGGTAAGGCCAACAAAATCATTTATTTGATGTACTCTGACCAACCCCTCAAAATATTCCGTACTCAATAATTTTTTCAGTACTTTAACATGTTTAAATTTACTTAATTTCTGTATGTTTGCAGGGAAAAACAGAAGTTTCTCATTATCATTTTTAAAGTATTTATATTTCAAAGACACATTTAGATCGAGTTTTTTCAGGCAGTCCTGTGTGTAATGAAAACATCAATAAATTTATAAGGGTGTGACTTTTATGATGAATATCAATGTGCAAGATAATGTAGAAGTTTGGGCTTTACAGACCGTGGATATCAGCTCAGTGGTTAGAGCACCTGACTAGTAATGCAGAGGTCCTGGGTTCGATTCCCTGTCCAGCCATATGTTATGTTCATGCATCTCTCCTTTCCTACTACATTTAAGGAGAAATGCATGAAGAAAACATATGGCTGGATCGGGAATCGCTCCTGGGACCCTGGCCTGCATTACTACTCAGTTGCTCTAACCACTGAGCTATCCAGGCCGATGTTCAAGGTCCATAAAGCCTGAACTTCCACATTAATAAGAATAAAAAAAAATACCTACCCACCTTGAAAAATGTAGGCATCTTTAAAATTGTGGGTCAGAGTACATCCATAAAAAAAAAAAAATGAATGATAGCCTAAACGATACTCATACACATGCATTCACCCTTCCACCTATAATGTAGTTTTATTATGTAAAGTGTACAGAAATGTTTTGCTTACAGTTATATTACAAAGTTTATAGTAATTGTGTATTATCTAATAAAGAAATAAAAATAAAATACCACTAATTATTATTGATAAATTTTAACTTCCAGTTTACTTACTAATTAATATTATAAAGAATTTTCAAATCCATTAATAATAATTTTGTAATTTGTTTGTTAATCAGAATAATTTTTGCAACCCCATTTCTTTTCAGTGTGGGGGGAATGTTCTCATTGTTTTCACATACACTGTATCGTCAAATGGTTGAACTCCCAGCAAGTTAATCAGCTTTGTCCAATGTGTCGACAAGACTGGAAATTCAAAAGTGACACAGAAATGCCTGGTACGTGAGACAGTGATTGAGTAAATTGTACTAAAGAATGCAGACTTCACATTCCTGTTATTAAAATGGTGAATCATAATTATTATTTTGTAAATCCTCAACTACAGTAGTGTTTTTGAGACATTGATATACTCAGTCAGTCAGGAGGGCTTAGATCTTATATGCTGGTTACAGGCATGTACATGTATGTAACATTGTTGCACAGAATGCCTATAGATGTAGTTGTTACTTTTGTCAATAAAATGAATGCATTTAAAGGTCCTGTTTTTTTTTTTATTCAAAGTATGCATGTGTATTTCAATATACAAATTTTATTGTCATATAGAATCAGACTTTCTGATTTCATGTATCATCTAAGCTCTTCCAAACGATGATGCAAATATGAACATCATATCTCTAACCTTTTTATTGAATGGAAAATAGATAAACAGGCAGATGTACACATATAGACATCAGTAATCCTATTCCCCTCTTTTAAATGGCAAGGACAACATTTTTTTTTTCTGCTGGACCAGCATTGGGCCTAGCTAGAAACACGATACATGTAACATTATAAAAAAATTTAAATATAGGAATAAAATAAGTTTAGACTCGTATTTCTCTGAATAATTTTCTAGCAGAGTATAAAGTGTAAACACGGGAGAAGGAAAACGAGAGATTGTTTGCTAGATGATTAGATTATGAATTATTAGATTATTCCCATCTGGGCCTCTTTTCCAGATTGTCTTTATAGTTAACAGGAAAGGAGAAAAATGTGACAGACCAAACTGGGATGTGAACCTGTGCCCTTTGAATTACTTGTCAGGTGCTCTACCACCTGATCTATCTGGTTCAGATACATGTAGGTACTGATCTATCTCATTCAGATATCTCACTAATGACATATACATATATACTTAAATGAAGAACAACAAACAGACTGTGTGTTGAGTCAGGGAAAAGGGGGGTCCTCTTATTGTACTCAGATTCAAGAAATCGTGATGACCCCTGCCTATGAAACCTGATTTGCACTTTTACAAACTTTTTAAAAATTAAATGTAATTCTGTAAACTTGCTGTTTAGATTCAATTTTTGCAATTTAAAGAAAAATGCTTATTTTGAAAGTCAATTTTGTTGAAAAATTTGTATGTCTTTAAGTTAAGTTGATTGTCATCCTTTCAAGTAGTTTATAAAAATGATCACAATATTTATTGAAACAAAGATATTTGACACATATGCACATTATGAATGTCTTATAATCTATGTAGCTACTTAGTTGAACTCTTCAACTTCAATAAAATATCTTCCGATTTGTCAACAGACATTTTGCAGGATGATAACAAAGCTGTAAAAAAAAAGAAATAGCCATTAAGCACATTTTTTTCTTGAAATAGCTGTTGTATATTTAGTACTAGTTTAATACTTTTCAGTAATAATAATAATTGAGGGACTGTTCTCAAAAGTTATGCATAAGCATTTTAATATACAAACTTTCCAGTTGTTCTTTTGCATCTCCTAAGTGTGACTCTTCAAATTTTGTTGGGGGCTGGAAATAATCATCTGATACCCAGGGGGAGGGGGTAGAGAGCTGCTGGATGCTGCTGTTCTGCCTTTCTAAATAAGACAGAAAAGTCAATTTAGTGATGATAGAATTCAAAACACATGTGACTGAGTGACTACATGTAACACTATTTAACTATAACATATTATTAATGTATTTTCTAACACATATCATGATTATTTGATCATTTACTATATACATGTATAAATGTATGTGTGAGTGTGCACACTCTTTTTCATTTACATAATACATATTTTGGCTTGAGTATGTTGTACATCATAATCTATTCATTTGAATTTTGATGTCTATAAATAAATATTGACTGAACAATATATGTGATAGAAGAAAACAAGAGGCCCATGGGCCACATCGCTCACCTGAGCACATTGGCTTGGCAAAAGCACAATCAGTTCAGTATTGAAAAGACCGGGGGGGGGGGGGGGGGGGGGGGCTTGAATTTAAAACTACCTGATGATACTTCCATGTCAATATAACAAATGGCTTTGTTGTACTTGAGAAGATTTTTTTAAAAAAATATTCCCATATATTCCTTTGTAAAAATTTGATCCCTCATTGTGGCTCCTCCCTATCCCAGGGGTCATCATTTGAACAAACTTGAATCTACACTACCTGAGGATGCTTCCATATCAATATGACTAATCATAGCTTTTCTGTTCTTGAGAAGAAATATTTTTTCTATATGTTCTTATGTAAAACTTTCCATCCCCCATTGGGCCCCATCCTACCCCTGGGGGTCATCATTTGAACAAAATTGAATCTACACTACCTGAGGATGCTTCCATATCAATATGACTAAACATAGCTTTTCTGTTCTTCAGAAGAAGATATTTTCCTTTATATTTATATGTAAAACTTTGATCTTCCATTGTGGCTCCACCCTACTCCCGGATGTCATGGTTTGAACAAACTTGAATCTACACTACCTGAGGATGCTTCCATATCAATATGACTAAACATAGCTTTTTTGTTCTTCAGAAGAAATATTTTTTCTATATGTTCTTATGTAAAACTTTCCTTCCCCCACTGGGCCCCACCCTACCCCTGGGGGTCATCATTTGAACAAAATTGAATCTACACTACCTGAGGATGCTTCCATATCAAAATGACTAATCATGGTTTGCAGTTCTTCAGAAGAAAATATTTTCCTTTATATTTCTATGTAAAACTTTGATCCTCCATTGTGGCCCCGCCCTACCCCCGGGGGTCATGATTTGAACAAACTTGAATTTACACTACCTGAGGATGCTTCCATATAAATATGACTCATCATGACTTTGCTGTTCTTGAGAAGAAGATTTTTAAAGATTTTTCCTATATATTTCTATGTAAAACTTTGATCCTCCATTGCAGCCCTGCCCTACCCCAAGGGGCCATGGTTTGATCAAATTTGAATCTACACTACCTGAGGATGCTTCCATATAAATATGACTCATCATGGCTTTGCTGTTCTTGAGAAGAAGATTTTTAAAGATTTTTCCTCTATATTTCTATGTAAAACTTTGATCCTCCATTGCGGCCCCGCCCTACCCCCGGGGGTCATGGTTTGAACAAACTTGAATCTACACTACCTGAGGATGCTTCCATATAAATATGACTCATCATGGCTTTGCTGTTCTTGAGAAGAAGATTTTTAAAGATCTTTCCTATATATTTCTATGTAAAACTTTGATCCTCCATTGTGGCCCCGCCCTACCCCCGGGGGTCAAGATTTGAACAAACTTGAATCTACACTACCTGAGGATGCTTCCATATAAATATGACTCATCATGGCTTTGCTGTTCTTGAGAAGAAGATTTTTAAAGATTTTTCCTATATATTTCTATGTAAAACTTTGATCCTCCATTGCGGCCCCGCCCTACCCCCGGGGGTCATGATTTGAACAAACTTGAATCTACACTACCTGAGGATGCTTCCATATAAATATGACTTATCATGGCTTTGCTGTTCTTGAGAAGAAGATTTTTAAAGATTTTTTCCTATATATTTCTATGTAAAACTTTGATCCTCCATTGCGGCCCTGCCCTACCCTGGGGGTCATGATTTGAACAAACTTGAATCTACACTACCTGAGGATGCTTCCATATAAATATGACTCATCATGGCTTTGCTGTTCTTGAGAAGAAGATTTTTAAAGATTTTTCCTATATATTTCTATGTAAAACTTTGATCCTCCATTGCAGCCCCACCCTACCCCCGGGGGTCATGATTTGAACAAACTTGAATGTACACTACCTAAGGATGCTTTCACATGAGTTTCATCTTTCCTGGCCCTATGGTTCTTGAGAAGAAGATTTTTAAATGATGCCATTATTTTTTCAGTAATTCCTAATTATCTCCCCTTGAAAGAAGGAGTGGCCCTTCATTTGAACAAACTTGAATCCCCTTTACCCAAGGATACTTTGTGGCAAGTTTGGTTGAAATTGGCCCAGTGGTTCTTGAGAAGAAGTCGGAAATGTGAAAAGTTTACAGACAGACAGACAGACGGACAGACAGACGGACGCCGGACAAAATGTGATCAGAAAAGCTCACTTGAGCTTTCAGCTCAGGTGAGCTAAAAATGGACTAGACCAGGATTTGAACCCAGGCCCCGATCTCTAGTTCTACTAACTGAGGTGTCTGGCCACCGGTGATCCAAACCTGTCTGACTACCAAACATATATCTTACAATACTAGTACTCACTTTCTAAAGCCTCCTCAATGTCACGACACATAGAAAACACATCACTCCCATGTCCAAGAATTCTCTCACCTACCAAATCAAAGTATTTAACTATGGTCACTTTTCCATACATTACTCAGGGTATATTATAGAGGATTTTCTCTGTTAATTAAACATAATATTAAACAGAATGTGGTGTAATTAGCATTTCAGCAATCCCGCCATCAGTTCTGACCCATTGTGGTGATACCAAAGGCATTATATAAAGGTCAAGGTAACTCCATGCATGGAGTAAAGCCAATCAGCTTTTGTCCCATTTAGGCAAAAATACTAGTATATGATTTGTAGAACTATTTAATATTAATATATATTATATAGAAATCATATAATTAGGGCTGGGATACATGTATGATACAACTTTTTCTATATCGATATGTATCACGATATTTGAGCCACGATACAATATGTATCACAATATTATGAATTGGTTATGAAATTTTTTTTTATTGAAATGGCCGAAAAAATTTTTCACTAATAAGAATAATTTATTCAAAGAAGTTATATATCTGTTGTAAAACAAAATTACATGTATTTTACACAAGCGGTGTTAATTATTATGTATTTAATATTTATATACTGTATACATGCAGGGTTATTTTCGCCCTTTCACACTTGCAAACAACTTTGTCCCGTTTTAATTTCGCTCAGTCACAGTTTTGTTTAAGAAATTATTTTTTTCTTTGAATTCGCCCCGTCTTAAAGTCACCCACTTACGTCTAGGGTGAATGGGGCGAAAACAAAACGGGGGCGAAAATTTCCCTGTATACAGTATTTCAATATTTCTTCACATGTAATGATATGCGTATTGTCCTCACACAGAATCAATATCTCGTAATTAGGGTTGGACACTGTTAAAGTATGATACCAAAATGGTATTTTTTAAATGATACTGTACTTATAAACGATACCTGGATCCATTGCCCAGTGTATTTGATATCATAACAGAGGGGAATTCAATGTGTATATTAATGACTTTATAATTTCTGATTTTATTTAAAATTATTTTATAAGAGAAAAATTAAGAAATAAATTTAGATATTTATCCAAAATAATAATGTGCAATTAGCCCAGGATAAGTTTGACATAAACCAGCCGCTTCACGCAGTTGCCATGTTTATGGTAAGACACAGCTACGCAAAGTTCAAGATTATACATGTAGTATTTGATTTAAATTTGTTTTACATTTAAAAAAATAAAGTTAGCAATGTCAATGTGCACTTTACTAGAAATACTTGTCAATTATTAACTGAAGAGCTGCAGGGCAACCCATGAAGCAATTAAGGCCTAGCTACAACAATATAGCCATCTTGGATATTTTTAATCTGATGTTTACAGGAGAGTTTTTTTTCTTAAAAAAAGGCTATATCATTGCAGCTAAACAAGGCCCAGTATGCCTTATTTCATTTTTTACATGTACATGTAGAATAACCTTACAATACGTGCTGTAAAATTTGATCTTGTGGTTATGATTTTCGAAAGTATTCACCTTTGTTCAGTTAACTTGCTCAAATGCATTAAAATAAATGAAGAAAACAGTATTGAATTTCAATATTAGTACTGATCTTAAATGAAACAGTATTTTACCAGTACATGTAATTTTAAAACAACTTGGTACAGTACTGGTGTCCAACCCTACTCGACATAATTCTTACCATCTGGGACTTTGAGGTAGGCAGCATGTCTAAGACATACTCAGGTTGTTTGTACTGTGATATATAACATGTACTGGTACATACTATTCAGGACTTTTGAAGTTTGGCATCATCTCTAAGACATTCCTTTGGTACTTAATACTATGACTTGTAATGCTTACTATTCAGGACTTTAAGCATTATGGGCATTATGTCAAAGACAACCCTGTGGTACTTTGACGTATCATACTTACCATCTAGGACTTTAAGGTTGGGCAGCATGTCTAAGACATCCCTTTGGTACATTGGATTGTGACAGAGAGGGTTGCTCAGGTCCCTCAGAGAGTCATGAAGCCTTAATTCTTCCAGCTTATCCAAGGCTGTTAAACATCTCAGACTGTTAATACTGCAACATCAAAAGTACCGTATATACTTGCCTATAAGTCGGTCCGCCTATAAGTCTGTTGTATTTTTTAAGCTTAAATGAGAGAGATTGACCCACTAAAATACCATTCTTTTTATAACTTGTGTATAAGTCGGATAAAGAGTTTTGGACCAAAGTTTAACTCCCAAAAAACCAATGAGTATATACGGTACATCTAACAATGTGCCATCTTCAAACCTTGACAACTAAAAGACTGGGTTAGATTTTGACCTTATTTTGGAGCTTGCTTACAAGATGGAGCTTGCTGAATGGTTGACATGTTACTGTCCCAAACCTTGCACATAGGGTCATGAATTTTACACTTAATTTAGAGGGCTCATAGCTGATTATTCACCAGCAAACAATTTGCATACTGGATACTAAGTAATATAAAAGGTTTTCATATACATATTGTACTCAGCTTAGGCCTAAATTTTACATCAGGTAACAAATGAATTTCAAAATTGCTTATAATCAAGATAATTAAGCAGAGTTTTCTTGCAAGATTCCCAGATGTTAGATTTTTAAAGATTGCTTAAATTATAATACTTCTTCATCTTTCAGGCCACAATGGGACAAGGATTAAAATTGACAAGTTTTATCCCCTTTCACACAAAGATGCATTATTCAAAATTTGATTGAAACTGGTAAAGCAGTTTCAGAGAAGAATTAAGCTGATAATGTTCAAAATTTTTGGACATTGCAACATGCGAGACAAAAAGCAGATAACAATAGATCACATGAGTAACACAAGTGACCTAAAATCAAAAGATAAACAAATCCAATGATAAAAAACAATACATGTACTAGTCTATTTAAGGTAATATGTGTGTACCTTCCAATTAAATTTCCTGCCAAATTAACAGACTGGAGGTTCTCCAGAGCTTGCAGACCTTCTGGGAAGAAAAGTATGCAAAATATGCAGTAAAAATACATAATTATATATACACGTATATATAAATTAATGAACAGTCCGACATTTATTACTAATGTTAGGCAATAAATATCAATTTAATCTAATAACCTAGGTTTGTAATGCGGTTTCCTGACAGATTTAAAATCGTCAGGTTTCCTAGTCCTGCTAGCTTGTTCAGTTTGCACAGATCATTTCTGGAGAGGTTAAGTCTCTCTAACTGTGAGCATTCGCTAATGCAGCCGAGATCACTTAGTCCTGGAAATGGAAAATTATATGGAAGTTCATATATCAAATTATCTGCATTTGTCAGATAACATTGTACTACTCTTCATATGGTTATTAGTTTAACAGTAAAAGCGATTAATTATTTCTTGATATGTTTTATATTTACCGCAATCTCGGAGGTTGAGGGTATGGATACTCTCAATATCGAATTCTCCACTCCGAGTTTTCAGTAGTGCTTTTGTTATCTTACCATCTGAAAATTAATGATAAATTTTACGTATGGAACTTTTATTTAAAACAGAAGGATTTACATAAATAAAAGTTCTTTGGGGGGGAAAAGGTTTACCTTCCATGCTATCGCATGTCCGTCATGTCGTTGCGATTGTAAACAATTAACTGAGTAAGCCGTACTTAAAAGATTCGGTAATGTTTGTGGCATACTTTTTCCCCTAGCAAGAGTTTCATTATCATTACTGCTACCGATGCGTCTAATCTCGATTAAATATCACAATTCCAAGAGAAATTATTAACTTTCTCCTCTCGTTACTTGGCATTAATTAGACTAATTTTGTCCGCCACATAACTCTGCATTTTTTTTTTTACCTGTAGGGCCCATAATATGGTATGCCTATTCACGAGTAATACTAATAATGTAGTGGTTTAGAACCACTACTTGTAAATAGCAAGATTTCATTTAAGGTCAAGATCTAGTAAATGAAAGGTGCCTACAGATTTCTCAAATTTTAGAAATTAATTCCTTTAATGATGCTTTATAATTTTCTCAAATTTTAGAAATTTTCTCAAATTTTAGAAATTAATTCCTTTAATGATGCTTTATAATTTTAGCTTGGTCAAAGAAGTTGTTTCGGGGCATAATTTGTAGGTAAATAAGACGAAAAATCATATTTTTAACTGTCATTTTCAATGAAAAATTAAGAAAACCTGTCATGAATACGGGAGTTTTTTTTCCAAATCAGACCAATGAAATGCTTCCAGATTGCCTACAGTCTCTCATAAAACGGTAATTTGTATGTTCTTGGCCTCTTCTTTAAAATAATATTATATTGAATATAGGTATCGGGATTACTTTTCACATAATTTCAGATTGGATTCCATGAAAATACTTTATTTTCTACATAATTTTATTAGAGCCGTAAAGTACGGGAAAAAGAAAGTTGAAAATGATTATGACGTCATAATGGATCTAACACCAAAAAGTTAGTCTAAAGTCATTTACTAGATCTTGACCTTACGGTAGGTCGCGGGTTTGCTTTTGTCATCAATTTCGGTACACAATTTCGACGATTCGAGCGGTTGTTTTGCGCACATTTGATTATGACGTCAGGTACGTCACAAAGGCAACGTTGCATTGTTTCCTGTTTATTTCTCTGAAAATTACTTTAGCAATAGCACGCCTGCTAATCGATCAGTTGCATAACCAGCAGTTATGTATAATAATCAAAAGAGATCGATTTCCGGTTATGCATTTGATACGAATAATTTCAATACACAGATGGTAAGTTGACCCGGTGCAGGCAATAATTGAAATTTTAATTAAAATGTAAGAATGTGATTCCATGAGCAATTTATTTTTCTTTTATTTTACACCCTTATAAAATGCAAGGATTTTCGATTAGCGACGATATTTGTTTTGAAGCAAGGGCTGGTAGAGCGAAAACGCTGCATGATTGAAAACAGTATTTGCTGACTGGAATTCGTGTTAATCTCAACTAACCTTAAATATCCAATGTTCACCATTAGTTTGCATCAATTACATCTTATCCACCCAAATTTGGACTTTGATATGTGTATTATTTGGCAAATATTCGAGGTAAATGACGTTGCCTATGCATGCGATACTTCAGTTGTGAAAGAGATTTCGGGTTATGCATGAGATAAAGGACAAAAAGTTTCAAAAGTTTTATACTATCTCCATAATTCACTTCTTAGACTATTTTACTCTCGTTAAAGATTATCAAATTTTAAATATTGGCTGTAATATGAGGACGTTACATCATATTTGCAAGCACATTTTGATTTTTTTATGCCAGAGAAGGAAAACAGAATACTGCATTGCTTTATATTCAATATTTTTAAATACTAGTATATTTAATCATTTATGAAATTATCAAACGTTATTTAAAGTATATTGATTTTGTTCTTTTTTTAAATACTTACGCTAGTAAAGATTATTTCTTTTATAAGGTATTAACATATATAAAAGTATATCCGTTTTTTCGCGTGTCACAACCTTTTTATATGCTTTAGACAATTGCTGCGACTTTGAAAAAAAATTCCTAGTACATTTAGTGGATATATACCTATGTATATTTTTGCATTTTTTATTTTTTTTGTGATCTCAAACTGATTGCAAAAATAATAATAAAAAATACTGGATATACGGTAAATTAAATGTTGTTGATAAATCCCCCCCAATGGAAAAAAACTCTTACTATCTCTTTGTACATTTACTAATCGTGCGCAGATCTAGAGGGGGTGGGGTGGGGGGGTCCGGAACCCCCCTGGAATTTGCAGAGTTATAAAAAGTAGATACTGAAGCAAATGAAAAATGACTTTGGATCCCCCCCCTTTAGAAAACGTGGACCCCACCATCACCACCACGAAACAGGTGTTTTTCACGTTTGGAAAATTTTTTTTTCTTGCTTGTCAAGAAATTTTTGGGTTAGATTTTTTTTTTGACTGGGATGGAACCCCCCCCCCCCCCCCCTTGAAAAAAAAATTCCTGGATCCGCGCCTGCTAATGATGTATGAATTTAATCTTGTGAATTATAAAACCAAACAGGTATTGGTAAAATATTCTTTCCTACAATTTCACTGTGACTGATTGCAAATAATTCATTCTTTTACGCTTCTTCATAATTTGAACTTATTATTATACACTATAGCAACATGCATCTATAACCGATTTTATGGTGTAAAAACCATTTTCTTTCCCTTGCTTCTTTCGTGTAATGGACGATCTTCATATCCTAATGGATTCGATATCACCACCACACTTTACCTTTTTACCATCAAATATGAGAATGTAAGATGAGGCTGGTACCAGATAGCCTCAACCGTAAGATGAGGCGTTGTCATCTTGTGCCTTTCCCAGCTCGATAACAGAATTCAGTATACCCGGCTTCAGAACATAAGGAAATGTTTCACCCATGGGATATATTCCATAAAGAATATTTTTGCCAGGAAAAGCAAAATTGATTTTAAACTGTTGTGGATGTAGCATATTTTGTCCGAACAAAACGTCTGTTCCATTTTTTTTTTTAGACAAAACATAAATCTAATGAATTTTCCACCAAATAAATTTTAACCTACCCAGAACGCAGGGACGGTATATTGGGTTTTTTTTTTTTGGCTTGTCAGATAATTTTGGGAAGTAGGCCCCCACTTTTGGTCAGTTTAGGGTTTTTTTTCTTTTTATTTTGCTTGTCAGATTTTTTGGGGGAAGTTGACCCCCCCTCACACTTTTGAAACCGTTGCTACGGGCCTGTTAACGATGCCTTGGATTTTAAAACTAAAAAATACACACACAATAATGTGATGTAAATAATTCACACATAGAGAATGTTAGTGCAATTATTTTGAAAATAATTTGTACCGATTGTAACTGACCCCCCCCCCCCCCAACAGATTTACTTCAATGTCTTCAACAATTAACAGATCAGATGTTTCAACTTGTTTGCAGGAAAATCCTATACTTTTATTTTTAAAATTTTTGGAAGATTACGTTATAATTACATAATGTTTGATTTTAATCATGAAGTTTGAAACTTTTTGTCCTTTATCTCATGCATAACCCGAAATCTCCTTCACAACTGAAGTATCGCATGCATAGGCAACGTTATTTACCTCGAATATTTGCCAAATAATACACATATCAAAGTCCAAATTTGGGTGGATAAGATGTAATTGATGCAAACTAATGGTGAACATTGGATATTTAAGGTTAGTTGAGATTAACACGAATTCCAGTCAGCAAATACTGTTTTCAATCAGCGTTTTCGCTCTACCAGCCCTTGCTTCAAAACAAATATCGTCGTTAATAGACAATCTTAGCATTTTATAAGAGTGTAAAATAAAAGAAAAATAAATTGCTCATGGAATCACATTCTTACATTTTAATTAAAATTTCAATTATTGCCTGCATTGGGTCAGCTTACCATCTGTGTATTGAAATTATTCGTATCAAATGCATAACCGGAAATCGATCTCTTTTGATTATTATACATAACTGCTGGTTATGCAACTGATCGATTAGCAGGCGTGTATGTATGCACGTAATTTGCAACGAAGGGAAGGTGCGTAATACATCATGTTTGCTCATCACAGCCGGTAAAAAAATGTTATTTTTTAGGATAAAGTCAATCCTCAACATTAAAAACGGATAAAGTCGCTCTCTAAATATAGACTAGCGAGGAATTGATTTATCATAATGAAATGCATTAAACATGTTAAAATAAATTCATACAAACACCCAGCATATCGGACCTTTATGACACTGTAAACGGATAATAATATACTACATGTATTACGAAATACAAGCATCGAGTACATTTTTTTTTCTATATAACAAAATTAAGCTGTCTGTATATAAGCTGAATGCAAGTATTTTACATTTTGCCGATAAAAAAACAAACAAACAAGTAAGAACAAATATTTGAGAGTTCGGACTATATACTGACTTGCGATTGATATAAAAAGAACATTGCCGGTAAACCCCCCCCCCCCCTTCTTCTTCAGTAGTCGGGTGGGTTTTTTTCTTTACCGATTTCGAATGAAGTGATAAAATTCACGTGTTATACTTGAAAACTTAATAATTAACTTGACCATCCTAACATTACTTGAATTAATATATTATCAATCGCAGTGTTGTCGCTGCATATTTAATTCTAATGCACGAAAAATTTTTATATCAATATACCGTTCATTCTGACTTCGTGGGCAGAATATGAATTTCATAATACTAGAGTAGATAAGTTGCTGTTCTTCCTAATACGTTTCCGCAATAAGTGAAATGCTGAATAAAATTGCAGTGTGCATCTTATTCTATGTCACCTTTTAGATCCAAATATAATATACAGTTATGGAATGGGTACGAGGGAAATAGCAAATTTATGGTTTCCCGAGGGAGGAAACTATTTCCCGAGGCGGCGAAGCCGCCGAGGGAAATAGTTTCCTGCCGAGGGGAACCATAAATTTGCTATTTCCCTCGTACCCATTCCATAACTGTTTTATTATACCGAAACAATCATGGACGATTTAATTTTTTCACCAGACATTCCGACATTTAAAAAAAAAAAACAATGTAGAGGCAAAATCACAAATACATGCGGTTTAACACATTGTTATAAGTAATGCATCGTGTCCTAAAACAATTAAATTATTTTTAAAA